TAGGTGGGCAACAGACTGAGGCCTTCCCACCCAGGTCTCATGTGGGTTACATGGGCTCTCACACCAAGGCCTGGATACAGCACCTGCCGAGGTGTTAGGGGCGCTTCATGGAGCCAGGGTGTGTGTCTCAGGACTGGCCAAAGAGAGACCAAATCCTCCTGGTTCCTGAATGGGCCTGTGGTCCAAGTTAGTCCAATGAGAGTCAACCCTGGGAACTGCCTGGGTCAAATCAAAGGGTCTTTCCAGATAACAGCATTAGGATGTTGGTCTGGAGCTGCTGGTAGCCATATTGTCAATACTGTACCCCAGTTCTTGTATGCATAAATAAATAAATATTTTTTAAAAATAAAAATAAAAATAAATCATCCCTCTCCTTCAAACTACAATAATTTTTGTTCAAATGGCAACATTTCACCACTGCAAGTAGAAGGCACAGTATCCTTTGCCAAAACAGAAACCAACTGGAAACAACTACAATAACAACCATAAAGAACAATGTTATTAAATTCTAGGTTCAGAGGGAGGCTGAGGTTGGTTCTATGTTAAAAAGGGCCATTGGCAAGTATTAGAAAGATTTAAAGGCCTGCTAGCACTTTTTTTGATGTGAACAGAAGGGAGTGAATTGAAGAGGAAATCACTTTCCACCTTTGTGGGTCTAGGTTGCTTAAGGCCAAGTCTAGGTACCACCTGGAATCCCCCCACGACCCCTCAGGTGGGTAGACATCTGATACAACAGGAACTTCTGCCATAGACCAGTGCACCTGAAACCTTAATGCACACAACAGGACTTTCCTGGAAATTTTATTAAATGCAAATTCTAATTAAGTAGTGTGGGGGAGAAGGGAGTGAGATTCGATTAACAATAAATGAGCTCCCAGGAGTGATGCCCAGATCACACTTGGAGAAGAGTCTAGACTAGGGGTCAGCAAACTAGATAATCAACAAAATCTGGCCTCTTTTGTATATAATGCTTTATTAGAACACTGCCACACTCATTTGCTTATTTAATCTCTTGCATGTTACAACAGCAGTTGAGCAATTGCAGCACAGACCGTGTGTCTGGCAAAGCCTACTGCATATATTGCCTGGTTCTTAGTGGAGAAAGTATGATGGTGTCTAGTCTAGACCATGACCCCTCATGCTGGGGAGAAGGACCAGACACTCCCAGGTCCCTGGCTGCCCAAGGGCCTGGTGACACCCAGGCTGAAGGAAGACAAGGAAAGAAGTCCACGGGTATCTTTGTCACCTTCTCCCTAGCTAGATTTGGAGTTGAAAAACTTAGCAATAAATTTTTTAAAAAGGATAAATAATGATGGCTGTATAGAATGAAACATCAACAAGAACCTCATCAGACATTTTGCTGGGATGAGGAGCAAAGCTGTGAGGTGAGGGGATTAAGCAGCCTTGAACTCTCTGAGTCAGTTACAGGCACTCAAGATCAGCTGCTTTCTACACACTTTGGTGTATGTGTTATACCTCAATTTGAAAATCTGTATATAGGCTGCTGGCTGGGCCGATAGGGGAGGTGTGTTGGCTGCTACAGTTTCCTCCCCTGTCATAGTATCTCCCTCCCAGGACTAGTCAGGAAAACAGCTGGAACAGTGAGGCTCACTGCTCAGTATGCTCAAGATCTTGCCAGATATCTGCTTGCTATTCAATATAAACCAGTGTGGACCAGGCCCTTTCCTTGCAGGAAAATGAAATTATATGCAATTGGGTAAAAATCAGGCAAGTGTCTCAGAGGTAGTGTTATAGGACAGGGAGAGGGGCAGCCCAAACCCCGCAAACCTGTCTATTTTACATGGGTTTTTTCATCTGCCGCATCAACACAAAACATAGGAGACTTTAATGGGAAGGAACTTTAATAAAACTAGGAAACAATACAGGTAAGGCAAAGAGTCTAGTTTTTAAATGAAGTATTTAGAGTTACCCGTCCCCTCGTCCCCTCGTGGGTAAAAGTCCATCCAAATGGGAATGGCCCAGAACAAGGCCCCAAAGCCTGCCACAAGTCTAAAGCATCTTCCAGTGGGGACCCACAGAAAAGGGTCACAAACAACTGGACAAGCCCGGAAGGAAAAGAGCAAAATCAACATCAAGATAAAAGCTGCCATGGCCACCTCCCCACGGGTCTCACCCACATCTGTGTCACCCCGTCCACAACCAAAAGACAAGCGCAGTTTCTTCACGTGTCTCTAGGCTCCATGTGCCTCCTCCAGGTCTCCTGGCTCCATCCTGCTTCCTTCCTCAGTCTCTTCTGCAGCTTCTCCTCTCTCTGCTCAGCTCCACCCTCCCTTGGGTGGGGCAGGGAACCTCCCCCTTTCCTGGGGACCTCCCTGTTACAGTAGTAGTATTTGAGTTTAACTTCAAGGCTCCATTAGAATTCGGGCAGGTGGGTGGCAATTCCTTGAGAATGGCAGTTCCTGGCACCAGCGGATTCTGGCCTTCTCCTAGTGAGCTGGCAGGTAGATGCTGCCTAGTCTCATTCTACAGATGAGGACACTGAGGCCCAAAGGTGAGGTCCCCATTCGGGGCTGTCCAGCTGCAGAGCCTGCATGAGTCCCCTCCTCATTTTCACAGTGTCACTGTCCAAATGCTTAAGTATTGACCCTGCACCTCATGACACGCACAAATATTTGAGCATCCCACAAGGAGGCAGCTGCTGGGGCTGCCCCAGCGAGACTCGGGGACAGGATGACAGAATGATCTCAGTCCTATTATCTCCCACCAGGCTTATTGTGGTTTTTCAAGTGGTTGCACACATTAATCTGTGGCTCTTTTGCTAATGGGGGAATTTCCTGCCTGGAGGGGGGTGTGGTTAAGGTAATAGCATCCCTTCTGCAAACAAAGCACCAGGTCTTATTTCCCTGCAGGGGATATTTTCTTAGGTCCAAGAGCACGTCTCCATTTTACTGCAGTTGGGGAGAAGGTGAATGATGGAATTCTGTTGTCTTGGAGACCAGCAGCTGAGGGGGGTTCAGAATAGGAGGCCTGGGCAAAGGGGGGAGTCACTTGAGCGTGGCCTTTCTTGGAGCCCTTCCTGCAGCAGCCTGGTGACTTGGTTGGCAGAGAGGAGGTGCAACCCCTGTAATTTGCAGGCGAGGGAACTAGGGCACTGGGGAGGCAGTGACTGGCTCCAGGCCAGGTCTGGGCCTCCTGACCTCCAGGTCAGATCTCTCCGCAGGGCATCACCTGTGCCTGCTGGAAGTCCATTTGAGGAGGCAGGAAGGGAAGTCCCAAGATTATGTGTTTCCTGGCCTCAGGCCCTGGCTTTGGAGGAGGCCAGCCCTGAGGTGGGCCCTAGTTCTACTGTTTTCTACTGTGTGATGTAGGACCAGTGAGTCTCCCGATCTCTGTTTCCCCAAGTGCCAGTAATCATCACCTTTCTAGCTTCGCCCCCAGACAGCTGGGTGACTTTAGGAAGTCATTGAGTCTCAGTTTACCCATTTCTAAAATATAAGGATTCATAATAACAAGGGGCTGTTTTTGTCTGAGATCTGTAAATCTGTGACTCCATGAATTACCCCAAGTTCAGGATAGGGGAGGACGGCAATCATTTTACTAACAATAATAGCTTCAGCCACTTGTCGTGTGTGGCCTGTGAGCTGGGCGGTTAGGTGCCAGCCCCCTCTGTACTACACCATCTCCTCTGGTCTCCTGGTTTTCAATGTTGTCCCCTTTGAGCCACCTTGCATATCTGGCCAGTCTCAGTTCTCTGAAATCGTACCTTATTCCAGCACATTCAATGGCTCCCGGGTGCTTCCCAAGGTCAAGTGCCAATTCTTTAATGTCACAGTTAAGTCTACATGCTCTGACCCTGCCCCCTCTGATGGACTCTCCCATCAACTGCCTCATCTCTTTGTCTAGTCCTCCTCCACGCTTCGTCCTCAGAGGTGCTCAGTAAATATTCGTTAAGTGAGCAAACACATGGGTGAAATGTTTCCCTCAATTAGGCTACTCAAATTGAGTCATTTGCAAACCAGTCACAAGAGGGTTTTTTTTTTAAGCTGTACAGAGTCTATTTTTATTTACTTAAATATTTTCCTTTCTTAGATTAAATAAACCATACATCATACTATAACTAGAAGATCAGAATGACTTGCTAGAAATAGGTCTCCGTTAAATAAACACAAGGACAAATGAGCCATCTATTCAGTTCTCACTGCAAAGGCTGAGGGCCTAGGGCTCACCCCTCTAAGTTAAATGGGATAGCCAGTGCTTTAAAGAAGTAGTCAAGGCAAAGGAGCACCAGCTAGAGACCTGGCCATGGCTGAAACCCCAACACTGGTACAAGGGGAAGAATATAAAAGTTTTCTCACCCCAAGTCATTTACTCCACTGAAAATCATCCTAGCTACCACCACTGCTTGCCAGGCCACATCTCAGGAAACCTACTTGCCAGAACCCTCGCTCTATCCCTCTACGCATGTGAGATCTCTGGAAGAACTAACCGGGGCTTTTAGGAAGCATTGGGATGGCCCTGTGCAGCCGTCTCCACGTGATAATGCCGTGACCCTCCTGAGGCCGTGCAGGAGCCCACTGAGATAAGAGTTGGTTGTTTGAATTCATCTGCCCTGACTTAACGAGCTGGCCACTGCTGGAGAGGCGCAGACAGATGCTAGACAGTCCCGGGGGCTGGAGGACCTGGAGCAGGGGGCATTGTTGGAGAAAGCTCGCCCATCAGATGGTCACCCTGTGGAATGCCCTGCTAGCCAAAGTTGGCTTTCTTTTGTAGGCAAAAAAACACTTACAGCAATGAAAAGGGAAGGGAATTAACTTCGGAACAGGAATATAGAAAAAGAAGCGTGAGTAAGCTTAGCAGGAGACTCGAGGACGAAAGCAGCACTGAAATTCTTATTATTTCTTTATATAAGCAATGCTTCCCCATTTCTGTACCCAACGCTGGATTCATCGGGTCTATTTTAGTTTGAAACAACATAAACTGAACTCAAATGTGTATGAGTGACCAAAGGGAACTTAATGAGATTTAAACAACTGCACTACCTTCAGGCAGGGCTGGATCGGGGACTCAGACAATGTTGATCAGGACTCAGCCCACTCTTCCGTCCCCTTGGCTCTGCCTCCCTCTGCTGTGGCTTCGTGTTCAGGTGGGGTCTGCTCCAGGTGCGGTCAAGGTGGCTGCCAGCAGAAGTGGGCTTCGGGACCCTGGTGGAGTTGAAGCTTCTGTTTGACAATCGTTTTAGCAGAAGTCTGGGAGGGAGCTGCCGCTGGCACAGCAGAGGTCATGGACACCCCCCTCCCAGGTCAAGGTGGTGTGCTCTGGCTGATAGGAAGGACTCAATCATCCAAACGTGAGAGGAGGAGGGGACACTCCCCCAGTAAAAATTGAGATGCTATCACCTGACGTTGAAATGGATGTCAGGCAAGTAAAAATAGCTTCCAGTTTTGCTGCCCTCATATCCTTGCTCAAAGCTCTGCCCCACATTGCCCTCCAGATGGCTCCCATATACCCTTGGGCCCTCAACTCAAATGGCACTTCCTTGGGACCTTCCCAGACCCTGGCTGGCTGGGCTGAGAGCCCCCCAATGTACCCTCCTACAGGGCTGGACATTTGGGGTTTGTGTGGCTACTGAGAGAAGCCCCCACACTGAACCAGGACCACCGGGAGGTGTGGGGGCTGTGTCTTGCCCACCGCTGTGTCCCCAGAGTCTAGAGTAGTGCCTGGCAAGTAGAAGGAGCTCAATGAGAGTTACCTGAAGTAGCAGTGGGGGTGACAAGCATGAAGGCCTGGCAACCAGGGAGCCAGGAGGGCTGGCTGGTCAGGATTCCAGGCTTGGGGTTGATGGTGTGGGTGAAGGAGAGGTTGGGTGACCCCAGGAAGCAGAGCTTTGTGGGACCCCAGGAGGGATGGCCAGAGGGGGAAGGTGTACAAGGGCGTGGGGGGTGCAGAGAAAGTCAGCAAAAGGCAGTTTGGGACACAGGAGGTGAAGACTCGGTCAGGGCTGGAGAGAGGGAACCCTGTCTGAGAGTCTTTGGGGAACCAGGCGGGAAGGGCAGTGGTGGCCCGTTCCCAGCGGCCTTTGTGACAGGGGATGGGGCGTCAGGACTTGGCAGGGCCGGGAGGGAGTCCGCGGGCACTGGGCTGGGATTGGCTGGGAGAGGCTTCTGGGGGCATCCTCAGGCCTCAGGAACCCGGAGGGAGTTGGGTGTCTTAGGGTTCTTCCGCCAGTCACCCCGGGGTGTCTCCCCAGGCCGGTGCCCTGTCAGCCGTGGTTTCTCCACGCGCCCACCCGGCCTGTCCGCGCCCGCCTCTGCAGCGGGGTCTGGGGCCGCTGCACACCCGCCGGGCGCGGGGCCTGCGCGGGGCTGAGCTCTGGCCCCTGGAGGGCACCCGGGGAGGGGGGGTTTGGGGGGTTGAGGGGCCAGCAGCGTCTCCCCCTCCCCCAAGACAGGGAAGAGGGTGACGAGGAAAGAGAATCAAAATGGAGCAGCCGGCAGAGCGGCCCTACAGGCGGGAAGGTGGAGCCGGAGGAAGGGCCGGGACTGGGGGCCAAGGCCTCGGTGCAGGGGGAGACGGGGCGAGGCGGAGAGGGGGGCAGGGGGAGGGGGTCAGGAGGGAGGCGGGGAGGGGAGAAGAAAGGACAGAAGCGGGGAGACGCGCCTGGGCGCGAGGAGAGGGGCGGCGGGAGGCGCGCAGGGGCGGGAGCGGGCCCGGGAGTCGCGGCGGGCACGGCCTGCAGGGGCGAGGGGGGAGCGCGGCGCGGGCCGGGGGAGCCCGGGGCGGGGGCGGGGCGGGGCGGGGCGGGGGGGGGCGGGCGCCCCCTCCCCGGGCTGGGCGGTCCGGGCTCGGCGGCCCCGCCCCCGCCCGCCGCGCTCCGCGCTCCTCGCCCCGCGCGCCCTCCCGCGTCCCTGCTCCCGCCCTCGACAGCGCGGCGGGCGGCGAGGCTGCGGCGGGCGCGCGGCGCGAGCGGAGGACGAGGAGCCGGAGCGCAGCGCGGGGGACCGGAGCGGCCCTGGCCGGAGCGCACCGCGCGCCCAGCCGCCGGCGCAGCGCCCGCCGCAGGTAGGCTCGGGAGCCGGCGTCGGGGCGCGGGGCGCGGAGCCCCGGACCTCCCGGGCGGGACTGGGGTGCCCCGAGCGGCGGCCGCGGGCCGGGCGGGTGGGGGCGGACACCCCAGATTCCCCCCCGCGCCTGGCCTCGCGGAGGCCGCGGGAAGGAGCCGGGGCGCCGCTCGGGCCGTCGGTCGTTGGGCACCCCGCCATCCCCGGGGCGCGCCGGGCGGGCGGAGGACTCGCCGAGGGTCGTGGGGCGCTCTGGCCCCTCCCGGTCGCGGGACGCCTTGGGACGCACCCCCTTGGGTTCTGCTGGAGCCGTCGAAGCGCCGCGTCCGTTCCCAGGGGCTGCCGTGGGACGGAGCATAGAGGGTACGAAAAGCTCCGGGGGGGGCGTGCGCGCCGCTTCTCCGTCTGTGGGGTCAGCTGGGCCGAGAAAGGGCCTGTCCCCTGAATTTATTCCCCAGGGGTTATCCGGGGCCGGGCGGCTTGGGTGTGGGACGCCTGCTTCCCACGGGGGCAGTTCAAGCGCTCGGCAGATCTTGACTAAAACGCACAGCGCAGCTCCGGCCAAGCCACGGAATTCGCGCTGCTCTCCTCCCGCGCTTCCCTGAGGGCTGTGGGTGGGGGAGGGTCCCCAGAAGGGTCCAGGAGACTGTCTTCTTGCTGCCCTCGGAACCCCTCTCACCTTTTTGCCTTTGCCCAGGTCCTTATACCCTGGGTATAGGGAAACGGGGGAGGGGGGGTGCCATGGTGCCTGTGAGTTGAGGTTACCCCTAGATACGACCATCTCCATTCGTGGCCTCTTTGTGTGCACCCGTCACCTCTGGTGACACCCACAGGTGCTCTGTTCTGGACTGACTTGGTGTTCAGACAAAAAGCTCAGACACTGGGTAGACACCTCTCCCCCCACTGAAGTCCTGAGCCAACCCCCCCTCTAACTAGATATGAACCCTAAGAAGAAAATTGGATTTTAAAAAGCCGAATAATAAACACCCCCTCTCTTCCAGGTGTGGGGCTCGAGCACTCCCTGCCTCCCAGGAAGCTCAGTCTCATCCCCATGAAGAACTGGGGAGCGAGCTGGGTGCTGAATAAAATGGTTCCTAAGCTTTGATGGTACCCCCAATTCGTGGTACACCAATCAGAGATGGTGTCAGGCTTTGGGAGTGGACTTTGGGGTTGACCTTCACAGGTGGGTGTTTGTGGAGAGAGGTATTGGGTACTAGGTATTGCCTAGAGTCTCTCTTTGAGAACTTTGGGGAAATTGTTTCCATATGACAGTCTGAAAGGGCTCCCCCTACTCCCAAATTCTAGAACAAAGGAGGTCAGTGAGAAAAACAAGCATCTTGCCCACTCAGTCTCTTTCTCTTTGGAGCACTCTCTGGGAAGTGTTGACCCAGCCCCTGCTCTGGTCACCATCAGAGCAGCCTCAGACCCTCCCCTGAGCAGGCAAGCAGGGAGAGGGCAGAGAACTTGCCCCTGGAGAGGCAAAGGCACTGAAGGCTAGGGGCCTTTTCCCAGAGCAGACTGGGCAAAATGGCTGAACCTCCCCTGAGTCTCAGAAATAAATTGTCAGGCAGGCAGCAAACAAAGAAAGCGTTCTCCCTCCAGCCAAGCACTGGCTCAGTGGCTGGTCCTTGGAGGACAAACAGTGAGTCCCAGGCAGTGGGACACAGCCCGGCTTGTCTGGCGGGACATCTGGAGAGTGGGGGGATCCCCAAGCAGCATATGGGACACAGGCAGCCACCGTGGGGGAGAACGCGGGAACCATCTCCCCCCATGGAGACCCTTGAGCCCAGGGCTTGGTGAAAAGGGAGTCCTGGGGAACTCGGGAAGGGTTGCGGAGGGTCATCTAGAGGCCCAGGGGGAGGAAGCGCAGAGGGGAATGCCAAAAGCCGAAGCAAGCTAGCTCTGTCTCTCCTGGCTCCCAGGAGCTCCAGATGCTCGGAATTTGTGTACGTCTGTCTGGCCCACCACACAGCGGACATGCGTAAATGTCTTAGGGGAGTCTGTATGGGTGGGAGGTGGTGCCATCGCTAGTATGCATCTACCTGCAGCTCTGCTTTGTCATTGGGTCAAGAGGTTATAAAAGGTAGCCTCTGAGGCCACGGCCAGGAATGAGTCCTGATGGATTGGCTTTGAACTGCTGTGCTGCCATTTTCTGGCCAAGCATGACCTTGGATAAATCCTGTCCCCTTTTGCAAGGAGAAGTACTGAAAGCTCCCTGTGCACCAAACTTATAATTTCTACAAGAACCCTGTGCAGAGGGTACTTTTCTGATCCCTGCTCCAGAGGTGAGGAGGCTACAATGCAGGGGAGGGAAAAGGACTTGGCCAAGGTCATGGAGCTCGGCGGAGGCAGGGATTGCATCCTGCTCTTCTGGTTCCCAGGCCAGGACCTTGCCCGTGGCTGGGTCTCTGGGCCTCAGTTCTTACCGCCAAAAAGTGATTTATTGGGGTGATGGAGATGGGATTTGATGGTTGACACTGAGAACCACTGTTCCCAGTGTTGGCTGGGAGCTCAGCAGCTGAGATGGAGCTGTCCCAAGTCACCCAGGTTTCAGATGTGTCTTCTTTCCCCTCTTGTTTGTGTACGGGTCACAGGCTGAGTGTCAAACCCTGGGGGTTAAGTCCTGCTCACTACCTTCAGCCCCGGCCTCTCCAAGTCCATCCTTTTCATCCTGAGGAGCAGGTGGGCTGTCACCTCCCTGTCACCTGGCCTGAGGTGCCGACTTCCTTTGATTGCTGATGCCTCCTGCTCCAGCAGCCCCCTCTCTCAGCCGCAGACCTAAAGTCAAAGCCTGCCAGAGAGAGCCCCTTAATTGCCTTGCTCCCCAAATGGAAACAGAGGTGTCAGAACTGCTCTTCCAGTTCAGCAGTGCAGTCGCCAGCCTCTCTGTGCCTGGAGAGTGGCAGGCCAAGCATTCCTGGCCGAAATGAAAACAACCTTGAATTGACTCCAACTGCAGACAACAGCAGGCCTCGCGGGAGAGTGGCAGCTTCCTCGCTCCGTGGTGTTCAGCCCTGGTGGTCCTTTTCCCATTCCCTGCAGGTCTGTGGGAATTGGAGGGGCAGAGGGGGTACGCGCAAAGAGAAACCACTGCATATAGGGCTCCCCAGGAGATGTGCCTTGGGTGAGCTTTCTGAACACCCAGCATCTTCTCTGAGCTCACCTGGAGACTCCTGGAATGAAGCAGGGGAGACGAGAATCAGAGCGGAGACAGTGCATCACAAGGGTGCCTTGCCCAGCTGGTAGGTGTGAACCAAGCTGTGATACATTAGCACAGGCGTGGATTCGCTCCTCACGGAACAAAACCACTAAATATGGTTTATTTAGTGATAATGTTGTCAATAGCAGCAATAAATTATTTCAAGTTGATAATCTGCCAGGAAATGGGCTGCTGCTTTGCTTGGGTTAGTGCATTTAGTTTTCATGAAGCCCAGTGAGGTAGGCAGTAGAATTTTCCCTGGTGTACCTGGCCCTGGTGTCCAGACCTGACCAAAATGCGCTGATATCACTGCCTCAGAAAAGCCCCTGGCCTTGCTCTCTGGCTGTGACCACCACGCCCTTAGACAGTGCTGCCCGTCCCTAGTGCAGCATCCCTGCAGGCTGGTGCTGTGACAACTGGGCAAACAGGCCCAGAGAGAAGAGTTTGGTCCCAGTGTCCCTCCGCTACGAGGCTGCAGATGGGGTTTGCACACAGCACCTGTGTGACTGACTTGAACTTCATTTGAAGCTGGTGTTAATGTTGTGCATTCAGCCTCCTGTTCCTAATTTTGGGTGTCCCCCAATCGGTCACCCCCTTCTCTCTGTTGTTTAGAGCCGCTGCTGAAGCCATCAGCTCCGTTTACCGTGATCTGACATGACACCAAAGTGGCATCCGATTTGATGCGAGCTGCCTGCAGCGAATGACCTTCTATTTTTACATTTCTCATAAATTGGAAATTACAAGGAGGCCAAGTCTTGCAGAGCGATTGGCTGTGGTACTCAGCAAGCAGGGGATGCACATCTAGGTGGAACAGGCCACATTAGGGTGCCAAGGGCCCCGTTGTCTGTGAGAGGGGCCCCCAGCTTCCGGGAACAAGCGGGATCTGGTGCTCGGTCAGGCTGGAGGATGCAGGCGTTCGTGGCTGTCTCGGACAGTGACCTGCAGCTCTGCCCACCTGTCAGCTGCGTGGTGTCTGCAGAATCAGTGTCGCACGCCAGCTCCTGAGATAACTGGCCAGAGGGACGTTCAAGGTCAAAGATGCCCCAAAAGGCGCTGACAGCAGGTTGCGTCCATGGCCTTATTGTTGGGGAAGAAGGTTCTGTGCGGGCAGAGGGCAGCAGCCACAGGGAGGTGAGCAATGACATTCGGTGTCAGAGCCGCTGTGGGCTGTGACACGGTGCCAGTGACAATATTCTCGTCTTCAGAACAGCGCTTACAGTTTGCCGAAAAAGCCAAAAACTCTTGTGACTGTTGTTTCATTGATTCTGTACAAAGTATTCCAGGGGAAGAGAAGATGGCCCTTCATGTTGTAGAGAAGAATCCTCTTTCAACCAAAAAAACATTTTCTTTAAACCTAGTTTTTTCATAAAGACCAAATCAGAATGACCTTGACTCAAATGAGGTCTTTGCACACACATGAGCATATGCACACTTAACCCTTGAGTGGAATCACCGTCAAAATGCTTTTTCCATTGATGTTTGCAACTGCCCTGGGCGATCCAAGTGAAAACAATCATTTTATTACTATTACTGTCTCCATCTTTGAATGGGGAAACTGAGGCTCAGCAAGCCCTGAGGCTCATCCCCATCCCCGAGCTCTGGTCTCCCAGCTGGTAGGGATGCCCTTTACTCAAGTCTGAATTAACCAGGTAATTGTCTTGCCTTGAGCGGGAGCCCGGACAAGCCCGGGTCTGTTGGAGCCGCCGTGGGGCCTGCCAGGTGTATGGGAGAAGCATCTCCTTCATGCCTCTGAGCTCTGACCAGAGGTGACATCTCCTGGGCCACGCCCGAGCTTGGCATCTGATGTGTGTTCATCTGGCCGTGTACCCCAGCAGTGGGGGGAAAACAGGGGATGGTGGCTGCAGACACACATGCACACTCAGGCGTGCTTGTCTAAATAGTCGTAGAAGAAAATGAACCCAGGGCTTCCGTGAAATTGTCTAGAAGGATCTGAGGGCCTCGGTAACCAGGAAGTCGGGGCGGGGAGTGGGGACCACTGGAGGAGCCGACTGTGTTTCTAGGTCTGGCCAGCCAAGTGGGTAGGGAAGGGGAACCGGTGTGGACTGGAAACCAGACTCCCTGGCCATTACCCCCCCCTCCCCTCTGCCCTTGGATCGCTGTCTATGCTGAAGGCTATGAACTTTCACTCATTCTAGGAGCTTCTTTCTGGGGTGCTTGGAGGAGCAGGGACACGGAGGGTGTGACCCGTGCCTGGGCTGTGTGACCCATCCTCAGAGCATGGAGTGCCTCCTGAGCACCAGTCCTGGGCTGCCCAGGGCCAATGAGGATGATGCCAGGTGTAGGTGCTACTGTCCCCATGGGCCAGAGGGAACCCCAAGGCCCAGCGAGGTAGAGTCACTCACCCTGGGTTGCACAGCAGAGTTTGAACCCAGACCTTGATACCAACTCCACGTGCTGCGCCCCCCACCGGGGTAAAGGACGCAAGACAAAAGTAGCCAGAGCCAAACCCAGGTTCCCAGGCGCTGTCTTTGTTCCCTCCTGCCACCCAACCCACCTGCCGCTGGAGCCCCGTTGGCTGTTTCTTGGAGATGGGGAGGAAGTCATCTTACTGAAGAGCGTTGTCAAAGAGGTGTTTAAATGAACACACTGTTTTTAACAGGCTGACTCGTGTGGTGACGCGGATGATCAGATCCACACACGTGCCAATTCTGAGCTTTGCTGTGACCCCGGCACCGGGCAGAGCCCTGGCAGTAGCATCCCAGGAGCCTCTGGGAGAACTGACCAGGGAGCTCGCGTACCTGCCCGAGGTTGGCCCCCACATGCAGGAGAGCGGGTGCTCATGTCCGGTTCTGTGCCCCCGGCCTGGGCCTGCAGACCTGAGAAGGAAGTGGGAGCTGCCTTGGGCCCAGGCAGCCTGGAGCCTGTAGGGGACGGAGGGCAGGTCCCTGGCTTTGCTTCTCAGCCCATCAAGCCAAAGGGTTTGGATGGGATGGGAGTTTGGGCTTCTCCCCAAGGCCGGCGCCACTCTGCGGGCGGGGGACTGGGAGCTGCCCGCCCACTTCCTCCTCCATTTCCCCCAGTGTAGCCTCCCAGAGACTAATGACCGGGGAAGATAAGAGCCCTTTCTCCAAATGGCAGTGAATACCACTAATGACAGAGCAGAGGCAGCACTGTTAATTATGCCGCGGGTATTAAATGAAAAACGCCAGCCCCAGGAGTTAAATCACACCCCAGACTGGCAGTGACCAAGCCCTGCATCAGCCCTGGCCAAGGCACAACCGCCCCTCCCAACCTTGGAGTCAAGACAGGCATATTAAGGCCCTGCTCACAACGGTCCCCTCCCCTGCAGGAGTCTGCAGGGCTCCTAATGGTGTATGTGTGTGGGGGGGCGTGGAGGGTGCTCAATATCTTGGCTGCTCTGGGTGATTTTCTTACTTTCTTAGTGGCCTCTGGGAGTCTAGACAAGTTACCTTTGGGGCAGATGTGTGCCAACAACTGGACCAAATAAAAAGCGCCTACTATGTGCCAAGCTCCTCTGAGTCACAGAGGTAAACCAGGGGCTGTTTCTGTCTTTGAAGTGGTACAGCTGGAATGCGTGTCTTCTGGTGGCTCTGGTGCCCAGAGGGTGGGACACATAGTACTTGCTTCCCTGTCTGTGTGGCTCCTAGGAGAGAGCCAGAGGGCAGAGGGCCAGGCAAGGACTGACTCTCTTCTGTGAACCTGGCCTTCTTGGACAGCTGCACTTTCCACTTGCTGGGTGACAACCACTTTCCCCTCTCTGAGCCTCAGTTTACACATTTGCAAAATGGGAGTGAGCAGGCTGAGCCTAGAGGGTCAAGAGATGACATGAATGTCTGAAAAGCGACATGTTAGAGGCAAGTCAACAGAAAGAGAGAGGTCACCTCACCGCAGGTGGCTTGTGAATTTGAAATGTCATTCAAACCTCCAGCTTTCTCCCTTAGTTCTGATATCCTGGTTCCCACTTCCTGGACCTCAGAAGCTGTTTCTCAGATTTGTTGAGGCCAGAGAAAGTCAGAAAACCCAGCTGAGTCAGACACACCTGTGTTAGAGATGGGTAGACTGAGGCTTAGAAGGGGCACCCGCAGGTGCTAGGACCCAATGCCTCTAGCCCTTAAGCCAGGGTTCTTTCCCTTGCCCGGAGCCAGCCCAACTCCACTGTTGAGAAATTATTAAACGGAGTTGGTGGAAGGACTCTGGTTGCCGTGACAACGGAGCCGTGTCCTCGGGAGATAATGGCGTTGCACACGGCGGAGTGATGTGTGTTGAATGCTGATTCGGAAGCTGCTGGAGCGAGCAAGCAAGGGAGCAGAGGGATCTGGCTCTGGGGTTTGAGCTTCCCCAAGAAGGAGACTCGGGGCTGGTGGGGGTAGGGTGGGGGTGGCGGTGGAGAAATGAGCTTTGTCTAGTGCCATCCTCCCTACAACCTCAGCAGAAAGGGGTGATTATCTTGACTTGGTGGAGGCGCAAAGTAAGGTGAAGAGAGGCAAAGTGGTTCCTCACCCAGGTCGCTTAGCCAGGCAAGAGTTGGAGCTGACATTGAAAACTCAGAATGCTCCGGGGAGCCCGGGCTATGGGGAGAGCCTGCAAGGGTCCCGGGAGGGGAGGTCTGTGGGTGGGAGAGGGGCGCAGAGGGGTGCTCGCTCTGTACGCAGCACCTCGACCACACTAGAGGGCTGGGGACAGCTCCCCTGGGGACTCTGATGTGCAACAGTTCTAGCCCCAGTGGAATGGGGCGACTATAAGGCCAGGTAACTATTGATACCAGCTGTGGGACCAAAGTCACATCCCACTCCACTTCTTCCTTAGCTGTGTGACTGTGGACAAGTCACTTTACCTCTCTGAGCCTCTGTGTCCTCATCCGCAAAACGGGGATCATAACAAATCGATCTTGTAGGATTCTTGTGAGGCCAAATAAAGTAAGATGGGTAGAACATGAAGCCCCGCTTCTGGGCATCCCTCAATCACCATTAGTGATGGTTATTAACTGAGGAGGAAGAAGGAGCAGGTAGGGGAGGGGTCCTTCCCAAGCAAGGACCAGCTTGAACCTGTGGTGTTGAAGTGTGGAACTGACTAAACCAAGTGAAAACATGACAGGGCTCTTCCACAACCCGGCAGGGAAGGTCAGTGGAGTGAGTGAATAGCCCCCATCACCAAAAATATACACAAATATTTTGCATGTGAAAGTGATTGATGGACCTCGCTGCAAATGCGCTTTCCCTAAAAGCCTCAGTGCCAAGCACACTGGGGGAATTGCATTTTCTCCAGGTGGCCAGCTACAGGACCCCATGCGGCGAACCCTTTTGGAAAGTAAATACTGTCACCCGCGCTCTTCATGCCTCTTCTCCTGCACAGCTGGCACATTACATTTATGTTCCTAATTGGGGAGCGGAGAGCATGGGGTTAACACCCTGAGAAACCCCAAAGTGCATCATTTGCATTCTGGCAAAGATGTGATGTGAGCTGGCAGACAACCCCGTTCCGTTTTGGAAGCAGAAAGAGGGTGCTGGGCCATGCATTGGGCCTTTTCAAAGGCGATGTGAGTGCGGGCTCCCAAGGACGGGCGTGCGGATGCAGGCAACCATTTTGTGGGTTTGCATAAACCTGTGTGAGCAGATCCACCCCCAGCGACTGCACTGGGCTCTGGCTTCGGGCTGGATGTCAGGGTGTGAAGCGGTGAGCGGAAGACCTCCGTCAGATCCCAGCTCCTCCGTCCCAGGCGGGCAGAGGAGGGTCAGGGGAGGCTCATTCCATGCACAAATGAGGACAGTTGACATTTTACCAGGATCTGAACAAATGTGCTAATTGCGGGAGAGGTGCACGGGTCCACTCCCCGCTGGGAGTCCTGTTCAGTGAACAGTTTGCACGGAGACGTGGACGGGATCAGCGTTTCCCAGCGGCTCCCGCTTTTCCCTTGGATCGATTGCCTGTGGGTTAAGATAACTGTTCCTTCACAGCTTGTGAGCAAGACAAAAAACAACACTAGCCCTAGTCAGGTGATTTACTAGAAAAATCTGCCAGATACCAGAAAATTCAGGCTTTAAAATTCTAAGCTGTTGCCGCTTGCCCAAACACATTTGTCGGACCCATTTGGCCCCCCGGGGCCACCAGTTTGAGATCCTTGTGTTCTCACTGTGACCTTATCGGTCCAGACTTTACCCTTGGTGCTTCAGTGTGGTCACCTAGAAAATCTGCCAGATCCCAAGCATTTACTGTGTGCTGAGTTCTCCACTGAGTAGTTGACATGGTCTCCCTTTTAATCCTCACAGTAGCCCTAAAAGTAGATTTTATCACCTCTGTCTTAGACAGAGAGGTTAGGTGACTAGCCTGAACCCACACAGCATCCGAGCTGTGATTCTTGGCCAGTGCCAGCGCCTTGCCTTCTGCCCAGTCCGCCTGCCCATCCCAGCTCACGACAGGTTAACCTCTGAATACCTGGTCACGTCCCAAATGGAAGCTGTTGGTGTTCATGGGACTTAAGACTATTTGATCAATGAAAATTCCATTTTCCCAAATGAGTAGTTTATTCTTGTTAAATGGGATTTCTCACTCGACAAAGAAGGGGGTGAGATTCATACTATAAAGATTCTTTTGAAACCTAAGTCGATGATTGCAGAACAGATGCCTGGGCTAAGTGAGCATTCGTTTGAGTGTTCTAAAAGGAAAATCAGCTTTCTCTTATGGGAAGTATTTCAGGCCCTAGAATCTGACCCTTATCAACTCTAGAAATACAGGCCTTCCTCATATTTTTGCAAACTATTCTAAAACTGTCTCAACATTAAAAAAAAATTCCAACCAAACTCATATTCAGAGAACAATAGCATTTGTTGTTTTCCATATATAAAATTATAATACTGAATGTGCTTTTGTAAGTGTCACCAGCCCCACAGCTTTGCAAATCCTCTGGGAAGGGGCACCATTAACCTCATTCTCCTTCTATGCTTGGGGAAGAGCTTTGTGGCTTGACTGTGTCACATGTGTTTGGATTGCAAACTCAGAGGCCACTGAGGACCAGGCAGGTGAAGGACATGAGTAGAGAGGCTGGGGACAAAGTGACAGTGGCGGAGGGACTTGTAGCCTACTGGAAAGCACATCCCCCCTCCTATTCCCCAAAGTCAGAAAATTCAGGCTGTAAAATTCTAAGCTGTTGCTGCTCCACCGAACACGTTTGTCAGACCTGTTGGGCCGCCGGGCCACCAGTTTGAGATCCTTGGATTTTCTTATTGTGACCTTGTTGGTCCAGACTTTATCCTTGGGGCTTGGGGGTGGTCTTCTCGGCAATGGGGCTGACAAGGGCTGAGAGCTGTGAGGAGGAAGGGGTCCAGGTGGGTGCTGGAGCCAGCTGTCCAGGGCGCTCTTCCGAGACTCGGAGCCCCTCTCCGCTCGGGCTGCCCCTCTGCCCTTGGCTCATGGCAGACGCATCGCCATCCTGTTCAGCCTGCCCCTGCAGTGGTGTGCTTTTCTTTCCCCCAAATCCCAGTTCTTAAAGGGCCTTTATCCTGATGCCCTTCAGAATCCTTTAAACACATCTTGAACAGGCGAGATGGTCCTTTAGCTCCCTGGTTTTCTTACACGTGTGCCCTAAAAGACAAAGAACGGGGTAAGAGAATGCCAGGTAGTCATCTCGCCACTTGAATTCCCTGCTCTGGAGTCATCCTCTCTTGTTTGTTGAGCCTGGGGGCCTTACGGGGAGACCCCTGGAATGGAAGTCCCCGAGGAGTTCCCCACACCAGCCAAAGAAAGGGAGGAAGGAAGAAGTGATCTGGAACAGACCACCGGGGCCCGGAGACTGGGAACCCTGACCTGTTCCACTGTGGGGTCCTGCGGTGCTGGCACGGGCTGTGTTCTCAGCAGGGCCCGGAGCCCTCCATGGAGGGCTGGGCTGATGGGCTGGCCATAGCAACCAAGGGCTCCAGTCAGGGGGAGACATGCCTGAGGCCAGGGATCCAGTCTCAGCTCCCCCACCACTCCTGACTTCTCCTGTCAGCCCCTGGCAAGACCCTTTGCCTGCAGACAGCCCCTCAGGCCCTGGTTGAACAGGAGCCTCCAAGGGCATCATCCTGCCCCTGGGGCTGGCTGTCCCCTGGGGAGCTCTAATTAGAGCCCCAGCCCCTAGATCTGGGGAAAGCTGCTCAGCCTGGCTCCCACGTGACCTCTTTTGGCTCTGGGCACCTGCTGGCCTTGCCCAGCACAACCGTGGGGACCATTTAGCTTTTCATGGAGCCAGGCCTCAAAGGGTACAGTGCCAGCACCCCCTCTTGGGTTTCTTAAAAAGAGCAGCAGGCGAAGGGCCACTCTGACCTACCCCAAACAAAAGTGGATCTTGGGGGGGGCCTGCAGGCATCCCTGCGGAGATGGTGGGATACAGGGGTCATGAGCATGGACACAGGAACCAAGTGCAGGGGGACAAGTCTTAGCCCCTCTCGTTCCTAGCTGGGAGACCTTTGGCAAGGTATGCTTTATCACGCTATCATGCTGTGCATCAGTTTGCCCATCTGTAGAATGGGGGAGTAAGAATAGCAAGTTAATATACGAAAAGCCTTTGGAGAGGCTCCTGGCGTGTCTGTGTGCTGGGCTCACTTCCTTCCCTCACTCTGAGCAATTCTTTTCCTTCCTGCTTTGTGAATGAAAACTTGGGTTGGTGTAGGTTGACTTTTTTGTTTTCTCTGTGGCATCCAGAAAAAGAGGAACCTAACTCCTGTACAGGTGGTTCATTTCACTTTGGAGATGGCTATTAAACCTCAGGTAGCTCTAAAGCTGATTTTGTTCTCACTCTGGTGGTTGAAGAGGGGCCAGCCTCTGACCTCCTAACTTCCACTTTTGAAGGTGCCCTAAAAATCAGACTTTGTGATTCTCAAAGCTGCAGGCAGAGGGGACTGGCTTAATTCTCAGTTTCCTTCTCTGTCCTGGTGCTGTGAGGCCAGGTGAACCACAGCTCCACAGTCACATATCCCTCCGGCACCCATCAAGCCAGCGCACATAGGTGCCAAGGCCAGATCCAGAGGCTTCCAGAATTTCGCACAGATCCATGGGTGGGAGACATCCCATGGACTTGAGTGAGAAGATCCCAGCAGACTGTGAGCCAGGGGACCTGGGGTCAGTCCTGTGTGACCTTGGGCAGGTCAGTGAAGCTCTCTGAGCTTAATGCCGTCAGCTGCCAAATGGGGACTAACAGTCATTTTCGCTTCAGTGAGTTGAGCGCTTGCAGAGCCTGGCTCAGTGCTAGAAAATTCAAACCCAGTCCTCATACTGCGTACAGTGGTTACTGTTGGCCCCATTCCTGAAGAGAAGACAAACACTGAGAGAATAAGTGAGTAACTTGAAAGTCACCCGCTGTTGTGAAGAGCAGGCATCAGTGGAGCTATTGTGAAAGACACCTGGGTCTGCCTGTGACTTCCTGGGTGTGTCAAGGCAACATGAGGGGTTTGTACCAAAATGAGGAGCTGAATCTGTTACAGGACAGAGAGGGGGCACCCCAGACCCTGCAAACCTGCCTGCTGTAAATAGGTTCTGCCATCCACTTTGTCAACACAAAACCATATGAGACTTTAATGAAAAGGAACTTTAATACAATTAGTAAACAATGGAGGAAAGGCAAAGAATATAGTTTCTAAATCAAGCACCCAAAGTTACCTGTCCCCTCGTGGGTAAAAGTCCACCCAAGCAGGATTGGCCCAGAGCAAGGCCCCAAAGCCTGCCACAAGTCTAAAGCACCTTCCAGTGGGGACCCACAGAAAAGGGTCAGAAACAACCAGAGAAGTCTGGGAGGAAAAGAGCAAAATCAAAATCAAGACAAAAACCGCCATTGTCACCCCCCCCAACGGGTCTCTCACCCACATCTGTGTCACCCAGTCCATGACCAAAAGGCAAGCTCAGTTTCTTCACAGGTCTCTCTGCTCCATGTACCTCTTCCAGGTCTCCTGGCTCCATCCTGCTTCCTTCCTTCCTCAGTCTCCTCTGCAGCTTCTCCTCTCCCTGCTCAGCTCCACCCTCCCCTGAGTGGGGCAGGAAACCTGGAACCTCCCCCTTTCCTGGGGACTACCCTGTTATAATTCCATCATTTCTTGAGGAAGAGTGTGCCCTGGCTGGGAATTGGGGTGGTGGCGGTCTGCGCAGTTCACAACACACATGTGCTGTGTGACCTCAGGCCAGCCACCAACCCTTTCTGGGCCTTTTTCTTCATCTGTAGACTGCTGCAGTAGACTTAGTTCACCAGTGTGGCATGGGACAAGTCTGGACCAGAAGGTGGTTGCCCAGGCCCTGACCCAAGCCCCACTGGTCCAAGAATGGGGGTCTACCCTCTAGAACCCCCAGCATCCGCTTTGCATACAACTTGTACCTGGCAAAGGTCAACTCCTTCCCCCGCACCCACCCCCAGACTGGGCTGTGCCCTCGAGGCTGAAGCGCTGAGGCCCTAGAGCCCATCTCTAGCTGTCCCTTCTCCATCAGAGCACCTGCTCCAGGAACCCTTCCCTGATCTGCTGCGGCACCACTATCCGCCTGTACAAGCTCCACCCCCTCTCAGCTCTGGCACCTAATCATCGTCTGTTGGTGGGTCCTCGCATTGTGCAAAGGTTCCCAGTGGCCCTGCTTCCAGCGGCCCTTCCTCTCTTTGAGTGGCCAACTCAGGGGCTCCTTATCAAGCATGTCCTGTGTGCCAGGCCTCAGCTGTCTCTGGCCACTTTCCTTGCATTAGCTCTCTTTGGAGTTTCAAGACACTCTTAAGAGGTATAAGAGTCCAGATTTATAGAAATTCAAATCAAACTTCGTCCAGTTGCCAGGGCCACCCAGCTCACAGCTCTGAAGTTGTCTGTGCACCCAAGTCACTAGGACCTTGTTATAATGCAGCTTCTAATGGCACAAGGTAGGGTGGGGAGCTGAAGTCTGCATTCCTACCAGGCCCCCTGGGCAATGCGGCCAGTGCAGCCCCAGAGACCTGCACTTTGCAGGAGAAGCAAGGCCCTGAGTCACTGAGGAAGCCCGGACTCCTCTAGAGTCCCCAGGCTCACAGGCCTCAGTTTCCTCACCTATCAGATGGGAACTAGCCCTAGGCTGATAGACACAGAATGAGGACTGGAAGATATGGCACCTGAGAAGTGCCTGGCACACAATAGGCACTCCATAAATGCTGGCTCTTCTCCCTCCAGAAGCTGGCGTGGGTCTGGGTACACAGCAGATGCTCAATACAGCCTTGTCTAATGAATTGAGCCTAGCATTTCCCCCTGCAGCGGAGAATAAACTGCATTATGTTTCCCCTTGACATAGAGCCAAACCCAATATTAATTTTTTTCTTGAACCACAGAGTTTCAAAAAAGAAAGAAAAGCGAGTAGAGCAATCGCAGTCTGCAGCGAGGCTCTGTAATTTCTGTAATTACAGAACCGGAGCAAAACAAAGCAAGAGCATGCACAGCGTCATGGGAGCGGCGGGGGTGGGGGATGCTGCTCCCAGCCCCTCAGCTCCCCCTTCTGCCTTCCAGGCTCTTCATGTGCCCCACTGGCTCAGAGCAGGTTCTGGACGCAGACCGGGCCGGCCCCGCACAATGGCAGCCCTGAAACTCTAGCTTTGGCCTTTTGGCCTCTTCCTAGGTCCCCCACCCCACGCAGCGGCTGGCCCTTCCCTCTGATGCAGTTGGACAGAGGGGGATTGTCCCGAGCGGCTGCCACAAGCTCCCCTCCCCCCAGCCCACCATCTGCCCCAGGGCTGGGCTGCTCATAGCCTATCAGCCATCGATGGGGGGGCACCTCTTAAACAGATCCCCACTGCCGCTCCCCACCACCTCTGCCCCAGCTGCCACCATTCAAGTCACCGTCATCTCTGCCTGGACTCCTAGCCTCTTAATGAACCTCTCTGCTGCCACCCTTGCCCTCTGCAGCCTCTCTGGGCAGCCATAGTGAGCCTGCATTACATGCAAATCTATCACCCGCCTCCCACACCCTCCGCTTCCTCCTGTGCCATTTGGAATAACATCTGAACTCCTTTCCTGGGCTCTGAGACCTTGTGCGATGGGCCCCTGCCTGCCCCTGACCGCGGCTCCTCCTCCCATCCTGGACGTCAGCCACCCTGACCTCCATGCTGTCTCTCAAATATGCCGAGCTCATTCCTGCCGCAGGGCCTTTGAGCTTGCTGTTCTTCTGTCTGAATACTGTATCCCGGAGACTCACATTTCTGGCTTCTAATTCAAACTGAAAAAATTGTTTGTTTAGGCCAAATAAAACAAGCCCAAGGGCTAATTTTGACCCATTTTGCCACTTCTGATCTAGAGCTCCCAAACTCTGTGTTTTCTTTCTGCTACAAAGCATCTCCTCATTCAGGGGTTGGCAGAGCTATTCTTTCTGCATGGTTTGGCCCCATTTTTATCGATGGCTTTAGGACTTGGTCAAGAGCACACATCGAGGAAGGATGGGGCATCCTGGGAACATTTTCACCATCTTACCTCAAGTCTTTTTCTTTAACTCCATCCTTCCCAGAGCTTGCCTGAGTGTCTTCATTGAAACTCATCTGATCATGTTATGACCCTTGTCCCATCCCTATAACTGACCCCAAGTTCCTTAATCTGGGGGCCCTCACAAACTGACTTTCCTAGCTTCAAATCTACCTACCTTTTTTTTTTAAGCCTCATGAACACCTATTCAACCTTCAAAACCCAGCTCAAATGACCCCTCAACTGGGATAACTTCTCTCGCTGAAACAAGTCATTCCTTTAAGGCCTGCAATGTCTTGTTCATATATTCTGGCAGCACTGATAATGCCCAGTGATAACCACTGGGTATTGTGATTAACTATAGGCATAGCTATCTCTCTTTCTGACAAGGTTGTGACCTTGTCAAGGTCAGGGACTTTGCCTTTTTTTTTTAAGATTTATTTATTTATGCATACAAGACCTGGGTATAGGCCAGAGGTGTGTGTGGGGGGGTGAGAGATTCACCAGAGACAGAGTGGGGAACAGAACAGGCAGATTGACTGAAGTACACTGCTGAGGGGAGCAGCGGGGAGACAAGAGAGGTCTGCTCACCATATGTGTGTCAGCTCCCTGGTCAGGGATCGAACTCGTGCTGCAGGGGCTGCTGATAGCTTCATAGTGCAGACACTTAACCCCTTGCACCACCAGGGAGGCCCCGACTTTGCCTTATTAATGTGCACACTGGGCCATCAGCAAATATTTACGCAATGGGATCTTGCTGTCAGCACCTGCTCGTTCACTGATTCAAACCCTGGTGCCCGGGGTGTATTCAGAACACCAGACATGCAGAAACAGCATCTCCTTGTCATTTGAGCGTGTAGCCTATGCTCAGCAAATGCTGACTGAGTAGATGAATGCGTGAACTGGTGAGTGGAAACAGGACTCACTGTGGCCTCACAATTATCAGTGCCCTGTGAATGGTGCCTCAGTAGAACTCGGTGAAGGCTGACATCTTCAGGACCTGGAGGAACCTACAGCCATTCGGTCTGCAAGATATTGTCATCTGGTGAGGAAGAACTGGAAGACTCTGGAAGAAGACCTTGGAATAATGCCTGAGGCGTGCCTCCCACCCCCTCTGCTCACTGGCACCCTCAGAAGGGGATTAGATGGTAGCCTTGCAGCTGTGAGCCCACAGCCTCCAGCTCCGACAGAGCCACCCAGATGGTCCCCAAGCCGCAAGGCTCAGAAGCCTGTTTCAGAAAAGCGGAACTAACAACTGGCCAAAGGATCCTTTTGCTTCAGAGATCATGAGATTTCTAGAAAGACAGCTGAGTTCCCTGGCTGTGAACTTGCACGTGTCTGTGCTTTTCTTTGTGCTGCAGCTCAACCAGCTGGTGTCAGGAATTCACATTCCCCGAGTGCCCTTCTGAGCCAGCATGATAGTGCAGCTTCCAGAACCCTCCACATCCACTGGAGGGCCAGGCTTTGCGCAGACAGGCTGCCTGGGTTCTGTGCTTCCCTTCTACTGGATATTTTGGATTTCTGTTCCTTACCAGACCTTCTTCATTGCAGACTAATTCTTTAACCAGCCACACACATGAATGCACCCTCTCAGCTTCTGACCAGCCCAGGGTGATCAGCTGAACCCCTCAGAGTTGTAAAAAGAGAGGACCCAAAGCGAAGAGACTTGACATTTGTATGAGCGAGCATTCTCCCCGGTGAGTAGAAGGATGACTTCCACTGGGCTTTTGAAATAGCTGAAAGATGCTGAAGAGCCTGAAAAACAAAGCCCTCGATTGATGTGAGCTGCTCTTCTTCTTAGTGTTATCATTTCTTGACCTTCTGGGAAGTTGAGAACACAGCTCAGAACCCACCATCCGCACGGATAGCAATCGCAGTGATAACACAGCTGAGGTTTCCGAAGCCTGTTATGAGCCAGGCGCTCTGTTTCACGCTCTTTACATTATTTCAGCTCCTCTTTGCCACATCCCTAAGAGGAAGGGGTACTGTCTCCCCATTTTATAGATAAAAATCAAAGAGGGGAAATCACTCACCTAGGAAGTGTCAGGAACTGGGGCTGTCAGACTTAGCCGGGTGGCTGGCTGCCTCCCCACTCTGCATCCTCAAGGAAGCATCAGTCACGTTCATCTGTGACTTTCTGTGCTGACCATCATCCACCCATGTCTTTGGAAAGGAGGCGCCTTCCCTAGGGAAGTCACAGGCACTGGCTGAGCCAGGATACACTTTCCTGTAGTCTGGGATGGCAGCATGTCTACCACGTGGGGGGGGGGGGGGCTCTACTCATCCATCTGATCCCCCGTGTGGCAGGAGAGGGTGTGTCATGGGGAAGATGATCAAATAAACCCATGAACTGGACTCTGCTTCCCCTCTTCCCTTCTCCCTCCCTGTCGACATTGGATGGTTTCTTCAAGAACACACCGGCCAAGTTTCACCCTATGAACACGCTCCGTTGCCTGCCTACCTGCTGGGTGGTGGCAGGTGACTCGGTGCTCTGTCCCATTGTAGAGCCCAGGATTTCAGTTTGCCTGGAGTCTCAAGTGGATCCAGAGCGGAGGCCAGTAGTGGTTGTCCCTCAGGCCCCTGGTCTTCCTGAGCACTTGGCCAAGTGGTGGACGAGACAAAGAGAGATCCACACAGGATTATGCTGGGCTCCTCTGAGCCCGTGTAGCAAGAACGGGGAATTTCTTTTACAACTATGGGGATGTTTTGTAAACTCCAAGAGCAGGGGCCAGTCTTAAGAAAACTTGGAATGTAGAGTGTCTTCACGACTCTCCTTTTGATCCCTAATTTCCTTCCTTGACAGCCCAGCTCCCTGCTGCTCTAGGTATAAGGTGGGCAGAAGATGGCTGCCTGAGTGGCCCCAGGTTGCTGGAGAGATGGCCTCTTTCCAGGCCAGACTCTCAGGGAAGGAGCTTTGACTGGTTGGCCTGGGTGAGGTGATTGTCCTGCTCCCAGATGACTGGATTGTTTTGAACAAATATGGCGGCTGCAGCCCAGCAGGGTAGATGGAAACAGTCACGTGTGTGTTTTGACAGGCTAGTGGTGACCCCCCAAAGGGGCCCCACTATAGCTTTCCCCCCTTCCCTGTGGCTGCTCTCCATGTATGTCAAGACTCCCTGGGCAACCACAGACCCTGCTGTCTCTTGCCTCCTGCCATTCCCGATGATGAAAGGTGGTCTCTCTGCCAGAGTCCAGAGTGCCCTCTGATGGTGCCATGCCCAGGCCAGGATCCAGACGGGCATCCGAGACAAGCCCCTGGGCCGGCCTTGGGAACGAGAAGCAGGGTTGGCAGTAAAGTTTGGATTGTCCGAAGGTGGTCTGGTTCTCCAAGAACTCTCGGAAGAGACAATGGTGTTTGGTAATGGGGGACTGCATGTGAGGGCCCGGAGAGTGAGTGCACAGCAGACCCCCATGGGGACAGAGCCAGGGAGGTGGCCCCGGGATGGGCGGGGCCCACACCGCATCGCTTAGCTCAGCGCCACATCTGAGCATCCACGCGCCAGTGCTTCACCTGTCCCCGTTTGCTCTGAGGGTTCCATAAGTTTATTCTGGGTTTTATTTATTTATCTGCTATTTATTTGGTTTGTAGAACATTATAGGAATCCAGAAAAGTACAAAGGAAAAAATAAATCCCATAGATACTAATCACTGTGACTATAGTATAATGTTCTGGTGTTTTAGATATTTCTTTTAATGAGTAAATTGGGGAGGGGGAAAGGAATAGGATCACACCACAATAAACTATTTTGAAGCCTGCTTTTCTCATGCCACCAAAGCCGGGGCTCTCCCATTCTTTCCACATGGTCTTTCACAACATTTCTGCACGTTTGAAGGGGCAGAGGAAAACAGCTGCATTGGTTGGCTCCCAGGGGACACTGGGGGAGCTGCCGCCCCCTGTTGATTTCATTTCCTTCTGATAAAATTATGGAACATCTTCCTCACATAGCCTTCAGCCCACCCTACACTGTGCCGAGGGCCGCCAGCCCACACCCGCATGTGGCCAGCTCCGGGGCCAGCGCCGCACTGCATGGACATGCTGTATTCACAGCTGGGGACTCTGCGGGGGCTTCCTGCACCCCTGCTGCTCTCTGCCCAGGGCCACCTTTGGCTGCCAGCTGCCTGTTCACTGTCCCTGCTGTCCTCTGCTTTGCAGGCTCTCACCGGGGTTGCAGAGGGCACCTCTCTGGAGCTGACCTCCCAGAACACCATCAGGTAACATCAACAACCAAAATAATAACCATCGTGGAGCTCTCTTTCCAACCTGGTCAGACGAAAAACACTCCCACAGCCACTAAGGCTTATCCTGGCCACTATTCTACAGCTTGGATTCTCCCCATTTTTATAGATGGAGAAACTGAGGCTAGAGCAATCAAGAGCAGGGTCACTCCACTGTTAAAGAGTGGACTGGAGATTTGAAACAGGCCCATTCTTACACTCCCTTGTACCCCGCATGTCTCTGGAACTCAGAGGGCAAGTGGAACATTGTGGGGTAACCGAAGGTCAGAGAGGTCATCTAAGCCCTGGACAGAGGACTGGGCCTGGGCTCCTGGCATATGAATCTCTTTGAGGAATTTGTTAGAAGTATAGAACCCAGGCTTGTCTCCTGGAGATTCTGATGCAGCTCCTCAGGGGAGGGACCTGGGAACTCTGTCCTTATAAAGCTCTCAAGCGACTAGGAAACAGTGCTGGGCTTTGGAGCAGCTGGTGAAATGGCAACAGTCCTCACCATTTGCCCAGGCACAGGGTGCCTTCGTGAATGGGTGAAGAACAACAATCTGATGAGGATGTACTAGCATCATCCTGCACAGAGACAGAGTAGAGCCCAGGGAGGTTTAGGAGTTTATTCAAAGTCACACAGCTTCAGAGTGGCAAAGAGGACTTCTTCACCATCAGAGCCTGTGCTCACATGCCCCTTTCCCTCTCCTGCGCCCAGGAGATGCCCCTGTGCAACCACACATCGAGGCCCTCCCCCACCTACCCCCTGCAGCTGCTGCAGCCTCAGGGGATGAAACATCTAATTGCATCCTGGGAAGCAAAGATGAGGAGCACTTCCTATTTCTGCATAGAAGCTGGCCCCCCAGTTTCTCCTTGGAGCAGGATGTACAAGAAAGGGCACGTGGCCCAGGTGGGCAGCTGGAGCTAGTCACCCTCACACCCCTTCTCTGGAAACAAAAGATGTCTCCCCTTTCTGGATAGCCTTCCTGGGCCCCTGGTTGGTGTGTGGGCTTATTTTGTTTCTGTTCTTTTGGGACCATCCAGGCTCTTGCTGCTTTCTGTGCCTGTCATGCCTGCTCTGTCCTCCCAGGGTGACCCTGAGCCGCAAAGCTGCTGTCCACGTGGACAGGGGCCGACGTCGCACGCCCACCTGCCAGGACCCCTGCGTCCAAACTGCGAGACATGGCGGCCAACGGCAGCAAGGTGGCTGATGGGCAGATCTCCACGGAGGTCAGCGAGGCCCCCGTGGCCAACGACAAGCCCAAAACCTTGGTGGTCAAGGTGCAGAAGAAGGCGGGCGACCTTCCGGACCGGGACACATGGAAGGGCCGCTTCGACTTCCTCATGTCCTGCGTGGGCTACGCCATCGGCCTGGGCAACGTCTGGCGGTTCCCCTATCTGTGCGGGAAGAACGGCGGTGGTAGGTGCCTCCTAGCTCAGCCCGCCCCCACCGACAGTGTGCCACTGGGGGAGTTTCTGAGGTGACCTTAGGGGAAAATTTTCCCTAAAGACTCCAGAGCCCCATTTACTCTCTTTTCTTGTTATCAAAGGATTCCCAAAGGTCAGTCATGACTCTTGGGGGCTGACCTCTTCATCTAGCAAAGGGACGGGGGAGTAGTTTGAGTCTTGCATGTGGGTACAGCCCAGAATACCCCACTGTGGTGCCCACTCTGGGCTTCCTCCAAAGCCTGGAGCCCATGGGCCTCTCTCTCTTCAACCCCACAGGGGCCTTCCTGATCCCCTACTTCCTGACGCTCATCTTTGCGGGGGTCCCGCTGTTCCTGCTGGAGTGCTCCCTGGGCCAGTACACCTCCATCGGGGGCCTCGGGGTGTGGAAGCTGGCCCCCATGTTCAAGGGTAAGTCCAGAGGGGATCTGTGGGGGGGCGGAAGCATTCCTGCCCACAGAACCTTGGGGAGTCTTCCCAATGCCCTGACCACAGGGAGAGCAGCCTGCTCGGCACGTCTGAGCTGATGCAGCCCTTGCCAGCAAGCTGCTTCTGGCCAAAGTAACTTGGGTTGGAACCTAGAATACAGGAGGTAGAGAGAAGGACCATCCAGAGGCCGCACACACAGCAGCCACCCTGTGCTGTTCGCTCCTTTCCCCGTGAGGGCTGGGAGTGACTTTCTTTGCTTCCCGCTCAGTGCCTGACGCTCAGGTGGGCTCAGTGCCTGATGCTCAGGTGGGCTCAGTATCTGACACCCAGGTGAGTAGCATTGCCAAGAATCGTGCTTGGCCGCAGACCAAGACCCTGCCCCAGCTGTACTGGGCCCACACGCCCATCCTGGCCACCTCCCTTGCCAGACACCGTGACCTTAACCAAGTCCCTGCCTCTCTGCAAGGTCCAGCAGGGGGTAGCCGCGGTGGGAAATAGCACCACGTGCTGGCAGGGCTGCTCACTGTACCGAATGGCTCCCTCCCCCAGGTGTGGGCCTCGCCGCGGCCGTGCTCTCCTTCTGGCTCAACATCTACTACATCGTCATCATCTCCTGGGCCATCTACTACCTGTACAATTCCTTCACCACGGTAAGCGGCCGCAGGGTCCGCCCCTCCACAAGGAGCCCCCCCGTACCCACCCTCCATGCACTGGGACCATGTTCTGCCCACAAGGCTTGTCCTCATCTTCCCTGTCTCCCCACAAGTCTTCGTACCGGCTCCAGGCTGGGCAGTTGGTATCTGGCTGGTCCCCTGCTAGAGTGGCACTGTTAGCCCATTCCATGTATACCCAGGAGGCTGGGTTCAAATCTTGACCCTGCTGTACACCAGCTGTGCAACTTCAGGAAGGAGACTGAACCTCTTTGAGCCTCAGTGCGCTCATTTGTATAATTAGGGTGAAAATAGAACCTGCCTCATAGGTTTATTCTGAGGACTAAGTAGTGAAGGTCAAGGTGATGAAGAGCTGAGAACCGTACTGCAGTGAACATTGCAGACATTAATTGTTAACATCATCAGCACGCACGGGGGCAGGTGGGAGGTTTCTTACCAGGGTCACATGCCTGGGGGTTGGTCCCAGGATGCACACACGTGACCTTATGGTCCAGCTTGGAAAGTGAGAAAGTTGAGGTTCAAGTTTCAGCCATGACGCTTAGGAGCTGTGTGGCCTTGAGCAAGTTGCTGCTCCTCGTCACACAGCCTGCCCTGCGTCCCTGAGCTGGTGAGGAGGGAGGGGAGATAGTGACTGAGAGGCGCATTGTGGGGCTGGACGGGCAGCCCCAGGCGCTCCTGGGACGTGCCTGTGCTCTGTGCCCTTGCAGACACTGCCGTGGAAGCAGTGTGACAACCCCTGGAACACAGACCGCTGCTTCTCCAACTACAGCATCGCCAACACCACCAACATGACCAGCGCCGTGGTGGAGTTCTGGGAGTGAGTCTGGGCCCTTCCATGGGGGGACAGAGGCCCCTCAGAGGGGGATGGCAGAGGCAGGTGAAGGCTGTCTATAGAGATGTGGGCTGGGCTGTGGGAGCCACAGGGGAGGGCGAAGGCCTTTCGTGTCCTGGGGAGAGCTGAGCCACGGAACAGGTCCCTGGACATGAGCTATACGACCCTTGGTAACAAAACTGAGATGTGGACAGAGCACACACCAAGCACCCCCTGCATGCTGGTCTGGTTAAGCAAACAAGCAGGAAGGAGGTGGCAGCCCCAGGTGGCCAGTGCTAAGAGGAGGGGTGCTCGGGAAGCCGAGGGGCCCAAAGAGGCATTTCAGGGTGAAGCAATGTAGGGGAGACAGCAGAGACAGAATGCAGGTGACAACAAGATGAGGAGCGGCCCGGGAAGCGGGAGGTATAAGTAGTGGGATGATGAGAGTTTGAGAGGCCTCAGAGGCGACAGAGCCTGGTCAGAGTAACGGGCCAGCTCTTCAAGGACTTGCAGAGGCAGCCTGGGAGTGGGGCCTCATTCTGAGGCCACAAGAGGCGTCACTGATTGCTTTGACACAGGAGACATGAGGAGACTGGCAGTTAGAAGGACCATGGGACTGGAGGGGGCAGAGCGCTAGTGAAGGGGACGGTCCAGCCCGGAGGCCACTGCAGCCATCCAGGGGAGCAATGACAGTGGCTGAGCTGAGACACTGGCAGGCTTTGTGCAAAGAACACTTTCACTGATTCATATAAGGGGCCCAACAGTCCCCACTGGCTCTTGGATCCCAGTGATCCCAGATGTCAGTGGAAGAGGTCGCTTGTGTCCATGCCTGGGCACCCTCAGGTCGCTGCAGCCCTCTCCCCGCTCTGACTGTCCCTCACCGGTCCCCAGGCGGAACATGCATCAGATGACAGATGGACTGGATAAGCCAGGTCAGATCCGCTGGCCCCTGGCCATCACCCTGGCCATCGCCTGGGTCCTCGTGTACTTCTGTATCTGGAAGGGTGTTGGCTGGACTGGAAAGGTAAGGGCTGTGTGCACAGTGGGGAGCACAGAGGGTGGGTCTTCCCCCTGAACAGGGAGTCTATACCCCACAGGAGTCCCTCCCAGCCTTGCATTCAGCAGGCCCCTGAACTCTCTCTCTCTCTGCCTCAGTTTCCTTTCCTGGAAAATGGGAATAATGACATGTCTTACTTTCTGGGAAATGGTGAGGAGTAAAGGAAATAGTGCAGGTCAGACCCTTCGCACAGCGCCAGCTCCCGGTCAGTCCAGTCAGTCCCTTCAATTCCCCCAGGGCCAGTGCAGAGCAGAGGGCCAATGTCGCTCAAGGGCTGTTGAACAGGCATTCCCTGAGCACCTGCTCTTAGCAAGTCTCGTTCTGGGTGTTAGGTCTGGAGGCGGCCTCCCAGCCTTGGAGGAGCAACAGAGATGGCTGGGTGGGTGGCTTAGTGCTCAGACTCTGTATTCAGATAGTCCTGAATTCAGATCCCAACTCAGCCATTTACTTGGCTGTGTGACCTTGTGCGAGTCACTCCACCTCTCTGAATCTATTTCCAGCTCTGTAAAATGGGACTTACCTGCTATTATATATATATATATTTTTTTTTAAAGATTTATTTATTTATTTATACAAGCACTGAGTACAGTCATAAGTGTGGGAGGATGAGAGAATTCACCAGAGCCAGAGCGGGGAGCAGAACAGGCAGAAGGACCGAAGTACACTGCTGAGGGGAGCAGCGGGTGGCAGGAGAGGTCTGCGCGCCATGTGGGACCCTCGCCCAGCGGCCAGGGATCGAACCGGCGCTGTAGAGGCTGTGGGCAGCTTCGCCACCCAGCGCTCAACTGCTGTGCCACCTGGGAGGCCATATATATATATATATATATATATGTATGTATGTATAATATATATATATTTTAATGAGGATCAAATGCGATGGTGATTTTTGTAAAGCACTCAGCAGCTAGCAAGGGGCATTGTGGTTGCTTTTGTTTTTATTACCAGCCAGTGCAGAGCAATGCAAACTGGGGTGTCCAGTCTGGAGGTATCTGCGGAGGTGGCCAATCAAATTAGGGAAAAATGACTGGCCTTACCCCACCTCTGTCTCCCTTCAAATCCCACTTCAGGATTCTGGGGACAGAAGATAATTGAGTGTCCCCTCGCCCTGGCCTGACGGAAACCTGGAGGGCAGATGTGTGAGGTCTTACAGCAAGTAAGGGAGCAAGTAAGGGGATTTGAACTGAATCAGGCTGGAGGCAGGGAGTGCAGATCATCCAGGGAGGTTTGGATAATCCAAGAAGCTGATATGAGGAAGAGAAGTTTATGAATTCCACTCCTGAGCATGGACACACTGGTGGAAAGCTGCCCTGTTTCAATCACGTTGGAGTTTTGGACTCAATGGGTTCTCAGGTCCAAAGCTGGTTAAAACGTCTCTGCTCTGTTCCTAGGCGGGGCAGGCAGGAGGATGCAGGAGCCTCCCAGCCCACCTTTAGGAAGCAGAGAATGTAGGGCCTCAGGACTTTGGAGGAGACACTGCTGAACTTGAATCTCAGTTCTCTGGTTCCTAGTGATGTGTGCTTGGGCCTCTGAACCTCAGACTCCTCATCTGTTAAGTGGGCACAATAATAGTACCTTATGAGGTTGTCACAAATATGAGGGGGATAATCTATTAAGCACTGTGTTGTAGTGCTTAGCACATAGTAGGTGCTCACTCTCTATTATCTAGTATTAACTATTTTGGATGGTATCTAGAATTCCTTCTAGATTAGGTGACTAACTACTTCTTGGGACGTGAAGAATAGGGCCTCTTACTACATCTTTTGAGGGAGTCACTCCGTCAGGAAGCACTTACTGAGCACCTACTATATTCCTGTTACATTCTGAACATGGAGGACACGTTGAAAATTGGGACCTACACAAATATATCAAGCACGTCCTATGTCCTCTTCCACCAGTGTCTCCAAGTAGCAAGGTTGATTATACCCTTTTCCGAGGCAAGAAAAAGCAAGACTCAGAGAGGATAAGAAATTGACCCCATGTTACACAACTTGTCGTTAACAGAAATGGTTTTGAATTTTCATTTACTGATTCCAAGTACAGTGGTTTTTCTGCCAACTCTTGGCCACCTTTCCTAACCCAGAGGAATCTCATAGTCAGGTCAGAGAAATGAAACTAACCCAGAGAACGATTCATGCTGACTGTCATGTCAGACACTAAGATAAAAAGATCGTTGAATGTGAAAATTGCTCTTTCACACGAGTGAGCAAAGAAATGCAACTTCAGACAATGACATCAGTCTTTTGAGCATCAAATTGGCAAAAAATAATTTTTTGAATGATTGCACTCAGTATTGGCACCTTTGTGGATAAAACGTGCTCTGTGATGTTAGGCGAAGTTCAATTTCTGGAAGGTAATCAGGCATCATGGGCCCAAAGCCTTTGGGAAGTTTATTCTTTTTGACTCTGTTCTTCCTCTTCTAGTAATTTTCTCCAAGAACGCTGCAGTAGTTCTGTAGATAAAGTCTCATAGTCAAGAATACTCAGTGTGGTACTGAAAGTCACCCAAATGGATATCATTAGGGAAAACTTCAAAAAGGATGGTGGAATGTCTGGGAGGGTTGTGTTGTTTCACTGAGAATCACTTTTTATGAGATAATAGAACAATGAGTAGTAAACAAAACAAGAAACCAAGTGATGTGTACTGTGTTTTTTAACTTTAAACATGTGAAGTGAAAAGGCAGATACATAATTGGAGCCCCATTTTGTACAGAAATGTAATCATATGCAAAAAGAAGTCTCACAAGGGGAATATTCATGCATCTGAGTGTTTGCCAGGCATTTATTTAGAGTCTACTTAGATCATGGACAGTTCCAGACTCTCGGAAAACAGAGAAATCAACCTGTCCCTCGTGTAACTTACATTCTAGGAATCGCTGAAGGGAACTTAAATTGTGTGTGTTCATATATAATTTAAAAATTGCCCTGGCCCCACATGTGTTACTTGAATGATTTAAACAGAACGCAAAAATATAGAAGGGGGAGGGAGGCGGGGAAACTAGCTGCTGGGGTGGTTGCTTCAGACTTCAGAGGAGGTTAGGAACCTAGGAAAGCTTCCTGGAGGAAGAGGAACTTGAGTAAGTTCTGAACGGACATGGCTGCAGATGAAGTGGGGGAGGGGACAGCATTGTCTCCACCAGGGGGCACACTGACTGTGAGGCCCACTTTCCTCCAGGTGGTCTACTTCTCAGCCACATATCCCTACATCATGTTGATCATTCTGTTCTTCCGTGGAGTGACACTGCCCGGGGCCCGGGAGGGCATCCTCTTCTACATCACACCCAACTTTCGCAAGCTGTCTGACTCCGAGGTGAGCAGCCTTCTGCTTGGACCTGGTCCACACTTGAGTCCTGAGCCACCGTTTACCTGGCTCAGGATAAGTTACAGCTTTACCTAGCTTTAGGATAAGTTACAGCTCCTCTTTAACCCTCAGATGTAACCTGGGGCTGTTGCCCCACAGAGCAGGTCAGCACATGAAAAAGGCCGTGGAGCTCAGTGGCTGTGATTATCATTTTGAGTGTTTTTTATGATTCTGCCCGTAGGTGTGGCTGGATGCGGCTACCCAGATATTCTTCTCCTATGGGCTGGGCCTGGGCTCCCTGATTGCTCTGGGGAGCTACAACTCTTTCCACAACAACGTCTACAGGTGCCAGAGCAGCTGGGTGCCCATTCCTTCCGGGCTACGCCCTCGCAGGCCACGCCCAGAGACCACACCCTCTGCAAGGCCACGCCCCTGGCCTTTCTCCCCTCCAACTCCTCTGAGCTCATCCCTTTTGGTCTTCTGCCCCTTCCCTGGCATTGGGGAACCCTGCCCTGTAGTCCCTCCCAGCCCCCGGGTGAACACACCAACCCCTGTCCACTCACAATCCTGCCGTCCCACCCTCCTTGACCTGGCCCCTCCTCCGCAGGGATTCCATCATTGTCTGCTGCATCAACTCCTGCACCAGCATGTTCGCGGGGTTTGTCATCTTCTCCATCGTGGGCTTCATGGCCCATGTCACCAAGCGGTCCATTGCTGATGTGGCAGCCTCAGGTCAGCTCCACCCCGGGAAAGGGGGGAAGCAGCCGTGGGAGTGGGGCTGGGAGGGGCTCACCGAGCTGGCGTCTGTGGTCCTGGTGGTCGTCATTACGTGACTCACCGCACTGAGCCCGCTATGTGCCAGCATAAGGGATGGAGCCCCGAGTCCTCCCAGCACCCCAGGTGGATGCTCTCCAGCCCATTTCCCAGATGAGGAAACAGGCTCCCTCGTGTCACCTGACCACCACACACAGCTAGAAGGGGGTGCAAGTGGAGCTGAGCCCTGGCTTGGCGGGTGGGAAGCCGGCGCCATCCTAAGCTTCTGGGAGAAGACCCATTCTTTGCCCCCTTGGAATAGAAACTGCAGCCCAACTCAGACACGCGCCCTGACACAAATCTCCCAAACCAGTGCTTTTGTCCCAGTTCCAGAAATGTTCTCACAGGGGTGCTGTACCCTCTCTGCTAGCCACACCCACAGCAAGGCCACAGGCCCATAGGAAATTCTGCACCCCTCCTCTTGAATGAGAGACAGGAGGGGGCTGTTGCATGCATGGCAGAGTGCGTGGGGCTCCAGGAGGCAGTGTGATGTATCCCCACCCGTTATGGGAACTGGGCAGATCGGGGGAAAGGAATATATTCTGCACAGGTCCTGCTTGCCTCTGTCAGGGTGGCCCACCTTCTCCCTTCTCTGGAATTCCCCAGCACTTCCCTTTCCAGAGCCAGGCCCCAGGTAGCTCCCTGACCTTGAATACCTTCCTCTTCAGGTCTCTCCTCTCCTGGACTCCCTGTTGCAGCAAAGGGTCCCCCCATTAGTGCCCAGACCAGAACCCCAGAATCATGCTGGACCCTCCCCTACCACCACTCGCAAACTAACTGGTACCTAAGCACTGCCTCCTAGGCACCGCTCCATCCGGCTGCCTCTGCCCCTGAAGCGTCCCCACTGCTAGCCAGGCCACCACCCTCCCTCATCTCATCTTATGGGTGCCCTTGCCTCCGGACCCTAGCCTGCGGCCTCCCTCAAACTCTTTGTTGCCCCATCTAGAGAAGGCAATACTCACCTGAGAGGTTTCTCCAAAGATGAACTGCAATAAAACTTAGAAGTGGGTGCTGTGCTGGGTTTGCTTAATACTTAGTACTCTGCTTAGAAGGTGCTTAGTACTTTGTTTTACTTTCCTTTCTGCCCTTCCCTCCCCAGGCCCTGGACTGGCCTTCTTGGCATACCCAGAAGCTGTGACCCAGCTGCCCATCTCTCCCCTCTGGGCCATCCTCTTCTTCTCCATGCTTCTGATGCTGGGCATTGACAGCCAGGTAAGGACCCCCTGGCACCTCTAGGAGCCCCCCTACTCAGCCTCAGCAGGCCAGGAGCAAGCAGGGAGAGGAGGTCACGCCTGAGGCCCCAGGAGATGGCTGTTTTGACCCTTAGAGTGTCCTACACATGACAGCTCATTGTCCCCATTTTCCAGATGGGGCGCCTGATGGCCAGAGGGGAAGGGCTCTCCTGAGGTCACAAGCAGAATCGGGCTCAGATCCGGGGCTCCACTGGCCGACTGTGCCCTGCTGCCAGAAGGGTCAGGCTTGGGTGGATGGGGTTGGGGGCTGCAGCCAGGGGCTGACCTCCATCCCCCCTGAAGTTCTGCACTGTGGAGGGCTTCATCACCGCCCTGGTGGACGAGTACCCCAGACTCCTCCGCAACCGCAGGGAGCTCTTCATTGCTGCCGTCTGCATCGTCTCCTACCTGATTGGCCTGTCTAACATCACCCAGGTGAGCACTGTCGAAGCTGGCACACCTCTGGTGCAGCCTGCCCCTCCTGGCCCCAGCCTTGTCCTAACCACCTTCATCATCCTTAGCACTCCAAGCCCTGCACACACAGCGACAAGTCTGATGGGGTCGCCCTGCAGGGATTCCCAAGGTGCTGGGAGATACAGACACTGGCTAGAAGAGAGAGGGCAGAGCTAGAGAATGCAGCCCCTAAGCCCACCTGGGGCATCAGGGACTGCTTCCTGGAGGAGGGGCTGCAGGGACCGAGGTGTGAAAGATGGATGCTAACTGGAGAGTTGAGCAGGAGGTGGGCATCTGATGCAGACACTTCCTCCTCCTGTCTCCCCACTTTTCTTTTTTATTGACATTCGTGAGCAATGCCCTTTGCCTTCAAGCCCACCTCCATCTAGTCAGAAGACATGCAGGGGAATGACTCATTGTGCAATGATTATAAATGACCCCGAAGCCATGAGCTCAGCCTGGAGGTTCTGATTTCCAATCTGCCAAACCACTCCTGGGTCCATAGACAGTTCAGACTCAGAACTCTTGTTCTTTCCTTCTCTCCCAGTCCCTGACACCTGCTCTACTTTGGGCCTGACGTGACATGGATTCAGATGCTACCTGCTCTCCTAGAACTTAAATTTTGTGCACAAGACTGACATACACATTAAATCCTTAAATGCTGTGAAGATAACAGGATAGTGATCATAGAGAGTGACCAGCAGGAGTAGGAGGGACACCACCTCAGAGCAGTGATATTTAACCTGAGGCTCAGATGATGAGGAAGAGTCAGCCAGAGGAAGCTCTAGCTGGGGAGACAAAGGACAGCAGGAGCAAAGGCCCTGCAGTCAGAATGGGCTTGGCGAGAGAGGGTATTGCGGTGGAGGTAGAGTGAGGGGCTGGTTGGTCCGTAGGGGATGCAGAACCAGATCATGCAGGACCTTGCAGGCCAAGGCGTCTGTATTTTATTTCGTTATTTTATTTTATGTCACTCTACCCATCTGTGCGTTATATTATCGTCTTGCTTAAGCCATGCAAGTTTTAAACAGGGTAGGCACATGGCTGTTTAACGTTGGAGGAAGAGGGCTCTCCCGATCTACTCCATTTTCTGCCCCTCAGCCTTAGCGGAGTGGGATGTTCCCTCTGCCACTTGGACACTCTCCTCCCAGCCCCCGGGAGTCGACAGCCACATCCATGGTCTCGAGTCAGTGCTTCCTCTCACCTGCTCTCAAGTCCTCTTGCTACAGGGAAACCCAGTCCCACCCTCAGACTCCAAGCCCATGTCCCCCGTGAACTGGGTGCTCTGAGCACTGGGAAGGGGACTATCTTCACCTCCTTTTCTCCTGCAGGGGGGCATTTATGTCTTCAAGCTGTTTGATTACTACTCTGCCAGTGGCATGAGCCTGCTGTTCCTCGTGTTCTTTGAATGTGTCTCCATTTCCTGGTTTTACGGTGAGCATCAAGCCCTTTCTCTCTCTCATTCATTCATTCATTCATTCATTCATCTTTTCTTCAATCCTCATCCATCAAATACAACCACCAGCCCCCCACACATGAACTTCTTTCATCCTTAACAATTCAGTGACATCAGGGCAAGAGGCCTCGTGTTTAGAAGATCCCATGAGAATAGTCAAATCAGCTCACTTATAATGGGAGCCAAAATCTCTTCCTGAATTTTGGGATGAAAAAGCTTATTTTTTTTACTGGAAAAGTGAAACCAAAACTGCAGGGGAAAAAAAAACGATGACTGAGATATAGAAAACGAAACAGGGCTGTAATTAAAAGTGGTGTGCTGCCTTCAAACAAGGAAAGAAGGAAACAGTAATTTTACTGATTTTGTTGCCTCAGTTTCCAGATCCCCCTGCATGATAATTAACAGGAAGTCTCTCCCCGCAGGTCATCACAGCCGGGTGACCTGTGCAAAGGGGGGGGGGGGGGCCTTTGTCCTCGATACTCACTGTATCTTCTTTGCAGCACCTGCCAACCCACCCTCCTCATCACTGTCCCGTCCTCACTCCCTAACGGGTCTGACGCTGTCAGGGCCTCCCGGCCAGTGGCTCTGCTTACGTGCCCAATGTTACTTTCCCAGTTTGACAGCACCTGCCCTTTTTGCATTTGCAGTTCCGTGCAAGCTGCAGCCAGTTGCCTAGTCTCAGATCAGGGGGTTCAGTCCTCCTGCCCAGCCAGGCTTTAAAGACCTGGCAGATAGAGATTGATGGGGAGGGTGTTGAGAGTGGTAGGGACACGTGTCATGAGTTTGTCCTGAATTCATACGTGTTTTCACGTTCAGGTGACTTGGCTTCCCACAAAAACCCACTTGCTGGGGATTTGGTTACCTAGAGAATGATGTGTCCAGGGGCACAAGCCATGTGTTACAGATAAAAGCTGTGGCTCAGAGAAGTGAGGTGACTGAGAGAGAGGGGCTGATTGGGACTCTGAGCCTGCAGCCCCCAGCCTCATACATCCTGCCTGCTCGGTCACAGGTGTTAACCGATTCTATGACAACATCCAAGAGATGGTTGGCTCCCGGCCCTGCATCTGGTGGAAGCTCTGCTGGTCCTTCTTCACCCCAATCATTGTGGCGGTGAGTGAGGCTTGAAGAGCCCTGTTAGAATGAGGCTAGACCAGGCCCTGGGCAAGTCAGGCCCAGAGGGAAACTTCTGCAGGCAAAGGTGAATGGGAGAAGCCCCCATGCCTCTGCCCCTGCTGCTTCCCATTTCTGAGCACCCACACCCTGCATGGTATATTACTCGACCCTGACAAATCCCAGCAAAAATAGGCAGTGGCCCCACTGAGGACCCGATCACCCAGCCAGCATCCCCTACTCAAATCAGGGCCTGACTATGAAGCCCAAATTATTTGGGGGAGGGGAAGGTGTTTCTCATTCCCAGCATCCTTCATTCCTTCTGCAAGAGGAAACTGAGGCAGAGCAGACCGGGAGGAGAGGCTGCCCCAAGTCTTTGTGTGGGGTGGGCCCCTGTATATGTCTCCTGCACAGTGACACCCGCTCCCAACTGGGGGCTGATATCCAAGCCCTGTTTTGCTTGCCAAGCAGGTTAACTTGGAAAAATGTGCCTTTATCTATTGGGCCTCCCAGGGAAACCTCCTCTTGTTATTGGTCTTTCCAGAGAGGACACCTTTTACTGTTTCCTCGCAGTGAGAGCACCTCCCTCACCCTGATTCTCTAGGAAGGTGTCCCTTTCTATCATGCTCACAGAGACCGCTCCTTTTGCTCCTGGTCCTCCCAGAAGGGTCCTGTCCTACTATGCCGAGAGGTGCCTCATGGGCCAGCAGTGGCCTTGGGAGCAGGATTCCCAAGATGCTGAACCCAGTGAGGTTTGGCCTCAGGGCAGGGGTGAAGGGCAATGGATGTCAGGGTCTGGGGAGGGGCCCTGGTTGTCCAGTCTGGGCCTGACTGCCTCTCCTCCTCCGCCCTCCCCAGGGTGTGTTCATTTTCAGCGCAGTGCAGATGACTCCTCTCACCATGGGGAGCTACGTTTTCCCCAAATGGGGTCAGGGCGTGGGCTGGCTCATGGCCCTGTCTTCCATGGTCCTCATCCCCGGGTACATGGCCTACATGTTCCTCACCTTAAAGGGCTCCCTGAAGCAGGTAAGTCCCTTCACCTTGCAGCATGTGACCCCTTCCCTCGTGGAGCTTGTCGTCTAGCAGGGAGACAGGCAAGTCCATGGCCAGTGACAAGAGTGTTATGCTGCATCATGACTGGGGTGATGGAGGTTAGGGAAGGCATCCAGAAAGAGGGGGCAGCTACAGAGAGGCTAAGGCTCACCCAGAGTTATAAGTAGAAGAAGAAAGATGATCCCTCGAAGAGGATGGGACGCATGTGCCAGGGCCCAGGGGTATAACTGACCAGCGTGATTGGAGAGCAGAGTGGGGAGAGGGGCAGGTAGGGTGGTAAGAGATGTGAGGGGTGGAGAATCAGAACGTGAAGGGCCACAGCCCAGAGGCCCTGGATCGGTGATTCTCAAACCTTGTTTCCCAGAGCCAGAAGTGGGGCCTCCACAGTCTGCAGCATAAAACAGAGTGGGGGACAGAGGTGGGTTTGTGTGCCCAGGCTGGTCTCCTTTCACTGATGGAGAAACTGAGGCCAAGCAGGGAAACCACTGGTCCCTCTCTTGCAGTAAATTATTAGCAGAGTTGGGGCTTGCAGTCCTTGCTTCCAGCTCCAGGTTACTTTTGTTTCTCATGACCTGCTGACAAGCGGCTCAGATCTTAGAAAGGCGCGCTTGAGAGGAGGGCACAGCTAGTGCAAAGACCCAGCGGTAGCAAAGGGTGAGGCATGTCTGATGGGGCAGGATTGAGGGGTGTAGAGAAGGTAGTGGGAATTTCATTCATGCAGCAAATATGCGTTGGAGACCTACTGTGTGCTGGACACTGATGTCAGTGCTGGGGACACAACCTTGAACAAAACAGTCCCACCCTCGTGGAGCTTCCATTCTAGTAGGGGAAGATCAACAAGTAACTAGGGAAATCTGTTAGTGGGGGTGAGTTCTCGGGAAAAAAATTAAATGGGAAGGAGGTTTAAGACGCATTGAGGGGGCCCCCCCGCCAAGGAGCTAACACCGAGTCAAGACCACCTGCCCAGCCTGTGGGAGGCGCCGTGGGGAAGCCAGTGTGACCGGACTGGGGTGAGGAGGGGAAGGAGGACCCCAAGTGAGAGGAGACGTGGCTTGGGCCCAGTAAGAACCTGGGGGCTCCAGAGAAGGGGAGCCTGGCTGGCACGTGGGAGCAGTTTGAAGGCCAGGCCGACCGGAGAGACTTGAAGGGGAGGGGAGGGGGGCGGCCACCCTCGTCCCAGTGCCCCAATCCTCGCGGTGCCCGCAGCGCATCCAAGTCATGATCCAGCCCAGCGAAGACATCGTGCGCCCCGAGAATGGTCCGGAGCAGCCTCAGGCCAGCGGCTCAGCCAGCAAAGAGGCCTACATCTAGGGGTGCGGGGCGGCTCGCCGACCCGACACTCTCACCCCCCACCTGGCTGAAGGCGACCACCACTTGATGTCTGAAGATACCATCTGTCTCAACCTACCTCGAGTGGCGAGTCCAGACACCATCACCACGCAGAGAGGGGAGGTGGGGGACAGTCACACCCCGGTGGGCCCCGCCGTGGGCAGGGATGCACCTGTGGGCTGGTGACCTTTTTAATCCAGGCCCCATAGGCATCAAGCAGTCGGCCTTGACTGCCAAGTAGATCATTTTATCCTGCCAGTGAGCGTGGCACGGCCAGGCCGCACGCTCTGGCTTTTAGTCGTGTTCCCGACTGTTCTTTTACTGCCGAAACCCATGACTGTTATCTTGGACTTTGCAGGAGTTCAGTTCCGACGGAACCTGCTCTGTACACATGAAAAGGGCGTTTTGTATAATGGGATTTCCAGGGGGAGCTTTCTCTCCAGCAGGGGGGGGGGGGCCAGCGGAGCTCTGACTTTCTTTTTATGGTTTTCTCCTTCCCGAGGCAGCTTGACAAAACCACCCCCCAGACCTCAGTCAGTCCCCCAGGGCTGCTGCTCCAGTCCTCTGCACCCCACTGGGCTGCGTGAGCGGCTCTGTGGCTGGGCTGCTCCCACCTTGCCAGGCGGTTCTGAGGCACCTGGCCTGGCAGTGGACCTTTCCAGCAGGCCCCCGCCGTTGGAAAGCTGCCACGAGCACAATCGAGTGTTTAGATTGCCATTCTGGGGGCCTGGGGTCCCACTGGGGAAATTTCCTCAATGGGAGCCCTAGTATCTCACAGGCTGTCCAGTTCTGTTGGAGTCAAAAGAGGGACCGGACTCTCTCTTCTCCCTCACTGCCGCCCCTGGTCTAAGCTGCCACTTCTCACCTCGAAATTCCTCAGCTGGCGTCTGCTCGCTCACTGCCACTGAAATCTACCCAGCCTACTCACTGAGGCGCGAGTGTTAATCCCCCAAAGTGCTGCTGAGATGAAACCCCTTCAGCGGGAAGTACTATTTGTTCCTTTCTGGAATCAAGCTCCGTGGTGGTGGTGGCAAAGTGGGTGAAGGCCGTTCCTTGCAAGCTCCAGTAACTCAGCGTTTCTCATTTGCCGGGAAGATGGGTTCCCATGTAGCAAACCCTATGTTTTCCCCTGTAGCTCCTTAGCTAGTTAGCTCACAAACTGTGTTTTATGACTAATCCTAAATAACTATGGTAAATAACTGTGACTGTGGGTTTTTTAATCTCTTGTCATTCTCATCCGAAAGTGACCAGCACACACCAGTTCTTGCAATAAAGTATCACCCTCAGAATATTAAGCACATTATCGTAGAGAGAGAAAAAAACACAAAGTACGTGTACCCACATAGCTGCACACACCCGTACCTTCATCCTCACGCGTGGTAGACGGGGTCTCATCTGCTATTGTGTAGGAAACCTGAGACCTTCTCCTGAGGTCATCTGTAAAATAGTCTCATTGCTAAGGCATCCCCAGTGCCAGCTGGTAAATCCATGATCACACAGCGTATGTATTGTTCAGTTCTAGGGTTTAGAATGAAAAGAACCCTTCACTGTGTCTCACAGCCCCACCCCCATCCTGTGTGAATTCCTCTAGAATAAGGGCAGGAAGACTTCTAACTTTTCTCTTTGTTCTTCAATGTGAAACTAAGACCGAGTCTCTCTCAGACAAATGCAGTGTATTTGATGTTTGTAAGCGAATCTAAGTGAGATGTTTGGCAAGAAATCCCTTCACTGATTTCCATCCAAACCTACTTATATAGCACAATATGATGTGATGTACAATTACTGTGAGAACTGTGAATACGTGTAACTTTTTTTAGTATTTGCCCTGGGGGAGGGGAAAGATATTGTATTATCATATATGCTTTTTTTTTTTTGCAATAAGGGTTTATTCTCAGAACACCAAGTAAATCTATCTCTATATTAAAAGATATATGTAATATATACATATTCAAACTATATACAGAGCCTGTTTTAAAAAGAAAATTACAGTATTATTTAGTAAAACTATCTGTTCTATGGACCAAATGTAAAATATTTATAAATGAAGATGCATTTTAAATGTCTATAAATGGTGTCATGACTACAGCACGGGCGTTATGTATGTTTCTAAGGATCTAGAGGAAAAATAATAAAGGTTCTATGAGATACAGCGGCAAGCCCTCCTTCTTTGGGGCGGGGACACAATGGCCCTTTTCATCAGCACAACACACATACACAGGCCTATTTTCCCCCACAGAGAGGGAGGCCTGGGCTCAAAATCCAGTGAGATGGAGCTGGGCCTCCCGAAAATCTTGGGTGAGTGGACAGAAGATGACTCTGAGCTGGTGTGGGGCTTTCAATGCTCTGAGAGCGGCTTTGATGTGGCCAACATGAGGAATTAGCCCCTGACCGGCAGTCGGGACTGGGTCCTGAGAGAGATGTAACAAGAAGGAAATACCAGAACATCACATCATGGGAGGACAGGCCCAAAACAGTAGCGAGAGCATATTAGGATGAAAGTCCCAAGTCACCAATCAGCAAGTGCATGACCAGCTCCCCCCTGACCCAGAGCCTGACATGATGTAACATTCCCTGGACGGCCACCCTCCTTTGGCCCCTTCCCTTGCGGGAGCTGTTCTGCTTCTTTATCTGTCCTCACATAAATCTTCTCAGGCCTGCTGGCTGCTGGCAGGAGCTGGCCTGTTTCTTTAACAAAACACTTGCTTTGCTCACTGTTGAGCGGCATGGAAGTTCAATCTTTGTTCCTCTGGCCACGGCTCCCGGTTCATCATGTGTCCAACTGAATCTACACCTAACGCTAAGGCCATAGGAGCACGTCTGGTTAATGGTGGCATTCACTTGCTGAGTCACGCCTCAAAATATTTACTGTTAAATCTTCTGTAGAAAACATTGGATTCTGCAGAGAGGTCGGATGGGGAGGTGGACATCTGTGTATGCTCACTCACAGTCACCACTTGTTGCCACTTTATCTCTCTGTGTTGGTCAAGCTTCAGCATGGGAAGCAGACCCCTTTGGGTCTTATGGAGTGAGGGATGGGTAACAGGGACAGGACCTTACACCATTATGGGAGATGGGTCAGCTGCACCCGAGCACATAAACTGAGAATCGGGGGAAGGTTAGTCACCAGAGGACAAAGGGGGAATGGACGCTGGGCAGGCCAGCACTACAGCGAAATCCCACCAGACGAAGCCACTGTCTCCTCGAGTAAACATTTTGAAAGCCTTCCTTGACCTGAGTCTCCCCACAGTTGCTCCCATTGCTCCTTTTCTAGTGGAAGTCCTTTGTAGGGTGCAGGCAGACAGAAAGGAATGGGGTCACCATTGGGCAGACCAGAGGTGGACATTAGGAATGCTGCCTCCACCTGATCAGGCCCTCAGCCCTCACCAGCCACTGCCACAGACACCTGAGCTGTCTCCCTGCCTCTAGTGTTGCCCCCAGGATCCATACTGCAAGAGTAGCCAATGTGATCCCTTGAAAATGTAAATCAGGTCATGTCATTCCCGTTTCTCTGATTAATATTCTCCAATAACTTCTCCCACTTCATTAAGAAAAATGTCCCATCTGACCTGCGGTGTGCTCCATAATCTGACCACGGTTTATCTTTCTGGCCACATGCATTCTGCTCATCCCTCATTCACAGCACTGGCCACTTCTCTGTCCCTGGAGCTCCCAGTTCCCTATGCTTTGAACATTGCTCAGGAAGCTGCAGAGTCACCAAGGAAGCACCTGATTCAACCTGGAAGGGCAGGGAGTACTTTCTGGGCAAAGGACCACCTAAGCTGGAACCAAAGGACAACTCGGCCATGGCACCCTGGTCAAACGCTGCTCCCAAGTCTGCCTGGAGACAAAGGATGAGGAAGACCTGGTGAGTGGAATGGGGGCGGGAGAGCGCCAAGGGTTTGGAATACAGGCAGGGCCAGAGAAGTGGCAGTTCTGTGTTAGGGACACAAGCGATGTGTTTGTCTCCAGTCTGCTCTTCCCTTAAATATCCTTAAGGTTGGTCCTCTCCTTCATCCAGGTCTCTGTTCCAATGTCACCTCCTCGCAGAGGTCTTCCCTGACTACCCTCGCTAAAATAATACCCTCCCCTGCCTCTCCCTGTCCCCTAACTGCTTTATTTCTTCCCATTCTCAGCACTCATGTTTATTAATCTGTCTCCATCCACTACAATGGAATCTCTAGGAGGATCAGGACTTTTCTAGATTGCTGCTGCATCCTAAATGCCCAAGACAGTGTTTGTCATCTACCAGGAGCTTGACAAATTCATGAACGAATGAATGAATGAATGTGTGAATGAATGAATATGAGTGGACAGGGAAGGACAGTGTAACAGGGCATTGGTGCTGGGGTCAGATGTCCACCAGGTGAGCGCTGGCTCTGCTGCTAGCCCTTCATGCACTCTGAACATATTCCTTAAATCTCTTTGTGCTTCAGTTTCTTCATAAAATTGCCATTAAAGTGAAATGAATTACAAAAAGATATGCACACAGTGCAGTGTCGTGCTCTAAATGAAATCTCAAAAAATAACAAGTGTTCTTAGAATTCTGGTCCCCTAAATGTTCCTTAGAAGGACCTCTTTAATCAGGGTCCACCCCACACCCAGAGTTGCATGTTTTGAAGGATTTTGTCTACCAAACTGTTGCTTAATAATTAAGCCCCCTTTTTAGTCATCAGATGTGGCTGCTAATTAGGGCTCCTGATTAGCATGAAGTAACCAGGGTGACAGCACCGAGCTGGTATCATTCCAGACAAAAGCAAAGGCAATGTGGCATTTTGGGACTCAGCTCACTCGGACAGCACGTAATTATGTGATTTCCTCTGGGCTCTCTCCATTGTGGGAAAGGAAGTTCAGGATACCCCACTGGTCTCTCCAGTGACCCACGCTGACGCAGGGCCCCAGGTGGGGTCTGTACCTCCATCAGCTCACAAAATGCTCAGCTGCAGACTTTGGTTCTCTCCTCTTAAAATCGAAGCCAGACAGATTGCTTTGAGGAACATACTCCCAAGGCGGGGTGACCACAACCTCAATCAAGATAATAGAAAAGATCACAAAGCTGGCTCACACTCCGGAGGCTCAGATTTGAACAATCTCTATCTTCTTCAGATAAAGGTGCAGCTGTGGAACTGCCGGTCCATTATTCAGGCCTGAGTGTTTTGAAGGCCACTCATGCCTAGTACTAAATCAACCTCCAGGAAAGTCAGACCTGTCTTCTGCTAAATAAACTAAGAAAAACAAACATGGAGTCACCCAGTGTCTGGGTAACAACCAGAGCCAAGAGACAGTCGAAGGTCGGGTCCCAAGCACCTGCAGCACCGAACCACACTAGCACGTGGGGACATGCGCAGAAGGGTTCTCAGCAGCAAGTGCACAGGATTGAAATTTGACCAATCACCACTTGACAAACTTCCCACCAATCAGAGTGGCATTGACTGAAACCCTCATTTGCATAAAGGAACCTAGCCCCGCCCCCTCTGCTTTCTAAGTATGGGACCTCCAAGGCCTTCCTTGGGTATTCAGCTCCTCAGCGTTTTCAGTCTGTCTTGTGGGCTCCCTGTCTGAATTGGGTATCACCTGGTGGGGTCTCAGAGTTTAAAAAAATCGTTTAAAGATATCTTAGTGTTTGGGCCTCCCCGGTGGCGCAGCGGTTGAGCACTGGGTTGCGAAGCTGCCCGCAGCCTCTGCGGCGCCGGTTCGATCCCCGGCTGCTCCCCGGCCACCGGAGGAGGGTCCCACATGGCGCGCAGACCTCTCATGCCACCCGCTGCTCCCCTCAGCAGTGTACTTCGGTCCTTCTGCCTGCTCTGCTCCCTGCTCTGGCTCTGGTGAATTCTCTCACCCTCCCGCGCTTCTGACTGTACCCAGTGCATGTATAAACAAAAACAAAGAAAGAAAGAAAGAAAGAAAACATGCCTCTATAAAAAAAAAAAAATAAAAAAAATAAAGATATCTTAGTGTTTGAGCTTGTGTTTCTGAAATTTCATCCAATGTCGGTCTTTTTTAAAGTGTGTTTTATGGCCTCTTGTATCTAATTTGTGAATATATAGTTCATAGATGTTTTGTTTTTGTATCTGTCTTATTGGTTGGGAAGAGATATTTTTAACTATGTTGAAGACATTAACACTTAGTGTGTGTGTGTGTCGGGGGGTGGGGGGGGGTGGGTTGGGAAACATTAAGCCCCAGGCAGCTAAGTCACAGGCTGTCTATGTTATATATCTTCTCCCACAGAAATCTCCTTTTTCAGTTTTTTGGGTATTTGAGGTGGCTGTTGCACTTAAGGTCCAAAGACCCCGTCAGCCCCTCCTCTCCAGCCTGCATGGTTGCACCCTCACTTGGGTGGGAATGTGGGAGCAGTTGCCTCTCCAGCTGCACTTTGCTTGCAGCGTTGAAGATTCCTGACTTCCTAAGTGGAAATGATGAGAGAGGGGCCGCCACTTACCAATGCTCAGATCTGCCCAGCTTCCTGAGCACCGAGGTGCCAGCTGATGGCTCTCCTCTGTCCTAACAAACCATCCCTTTTAGGATACTCTGAGGCCTTTCTGGGCTCCCTGAGCTGCTGTGGGGCTGCTGAGAGATGCCGCCCAGTCAGGTGTGGGCCTGGTGGTGGTTAACAGTGATGATGATGGTCATGCCTATTTAGGCCCCAATAAGTAAGAGACCCTCCACCACCCAGCATCCAGGCATTTTCTTCCTTAACCACAGGACACCCCTATGAGGGTAGATGGGGGTGCCCCAGTCTCACCCCTGCTGGCTCTCAGCACCATCACTCCTGGATCCAGCACCTCCTGTCTGTGCCATAGATGTGGGTATCCCCTTTTATAACGAGAACTAGATAATAAACTTTATTAGGAAAAAAAACCCAAGTCACATGGACTTACCAATGTGGAGGAGGGCTACTGACAAGAACATCTTATTGCCATGCACAGTTAAGGACTGTGCATATTTTGCTTTGGGAGGAGAGTCTTCTTGTACTAAAAATCTAATTGGGACCTGGATGGGGACCCACGTGATGGAGAACTTGAGTAATGTCATGACAGGGTGGAGGAGAAATCAGGGGCTCCAGCAGCGAGTCTTCTGGGGGCTGAAGCAGATGTTTTCAAGAGGATTCATTGGTGTTTTTTTCCAGATTTGAGGCAGCTCCCATGTGAGAAGCAGCAGGTGAGATTTGTTGGGGGTAAATGCTTTTGAATGACAGAGGGAAGAAAGGGTAGGAGCAGACAGAAGACTCAGCAGCTGTGAGGTGGCAAGGAGTCAGGAGGTGTGGGTGGAAGAACACCGGGCAGTGGCACCCAGACCCACTGATGGTCCAGTGCCATGGCTGTCATTAGTGTCATCCCAGCTTGGGGGAGGGCCAGGCCCAGAACTGGGACTCCTGGGGCAGTGTGGCCTTGTTCACATGCTGAAGGGGGGATGAGTCCCAAAGGCATGCAGCTGGCAGCTCTTGCTGACCATCCCCTCAGTTCTCAGAATTACAGGGGTACTGGGACACGGGAAGGACATCCACATTTCCTGAAGGCCTTCAATCCGCCCAGCATTTTCGCATGGAATGCTGTTTCCTTCCTGCCACCAATCTGTGAAAAGGTGCAGGTTTTTATTTCCATTGATAGATGATCATCCTGAGACTCAGAGAGGAAAAGCCACTCCCTCCAGGCCACAAAGAAGTAAGTCACAGGAGTGGACCCCAATCTTTGCCTCTGTGGGCAGAGACACACAGGACACCAGGCAAAAACCCAAGATCACATGGAGTCAATGCCAGAGAGTGATCAGGAAAATGCCTAACGGCATGGACGCCCAGTTGCTTCTGTCCCTTTTCTGTTAGAGCTACTGGGACCGCCTCACCTCTCTGCCAGCCCCTTTGGATGAAAGGACCTGCACTGACCCGACAGGTGTGCAGGGGGCGCCAGAGTAGAGCTGCACCAACAAGTTTATAAGGACTATGCAGGTAGCGCCTGTGCAGAGGCCCAGAGTGCAGTTTTAAGTTACCTCCAGAAGAATGCTTTAAACCAACATCGCAGTGAGAATCAGAGTGTACCAGATTAAAAAAAAAAAAAAAAAAACTACTGATCTTGGTCCACAAACATAGTCTAACATAGTGATGCAGAAAATCTGGGAGGGGGCTGGGAGGGGGCAGGAATTGCTTCCTAAGAAGCACCTCAAGACTTTCTCATGAAGAAAGCTGGCTGCATAAAACAATCCAGGAAACTCTGCATAAAACAATCCAGGAAACGCTGCTTAAAACAATCCAGGAAGCCCAACAGAGGAAAGGGCATTGTACAAGCTGGTCTGTGCTCTTGAAAAATGTCAAGGTCATAGATTGAAGAATCTTTCCTTTAAGCAGACATGCAAACAAACTGTGATGTGTGATCTTGAATCAGACTGAGGTCAGGAAAAAAAAATCTCTTGCCATGAAGGGCAACGGTGGGACAACAGGTGAAATCTGAGTAAGATATGATTAGATAATAATACTGTATCAGTGTTAATGTCCTTATTTTGATCAATGCACTCTGGTTATGTAAGAGAATGTCCTTGCTTTTAGGAAATGCATGCTGAAGCATTTGGGTGTAATGGTTTACATGTCTATAATGTATTCTCAAATGCTTGAGAGAAAAAAACTCTGTGTGTGTGTGTGTGTGTGTGTGTGCAGGGAAAGGGAGAGAGAGAGATGAAGCTGGCATATGTGGTTAATTAATACTTGAAGAGTCTGGGTGAAGGGTCTACAGGAACTTCACAGTGACTGCAAACTGCAAGGATGAAATTACCTAAACAAACACAATCTAGGAGAAGCCTGGGTGTCGCCTTCCTGTGGTTGTTCGTGCCGGAGTAAGGGGGCGAGGAGCTGCACATGCAGCTGGACTACTGGGAGCTTTCGAGGGTCAGCATGTTCGGACAGGCTCAGCTGCAATCCTCCTAGAAGCACACGAGAGCTGCATGTCCACCAAAGCCTGGGGATTGAAATTTGACCAATCACGGCTCGAGGAACTTTCCACCAATCAGAACTGTACTGGCTGAATCCCTCATTTGCATAGGGCGGACCTGAGTGAGGACTGGCCCCGCCCCTTGAGGGTATATAAGCGCTTCTCGCGTGGTCGCTGGGTGGGTTCGGCGCTGCCGGGGGTGAGTGGTGCTGGCTCCGCAGGCGGCTTCCCTTTGCCGTGAGTCTGGTGCATGAATATAACACAATACGTGGCGGGCAGTCTCCGAGAAACGTTTGGAGCCGTGGTCCTCGACCCTGGCTCCACGTGAGAGCCACAAAGGCACCTGAGGAAGGACCCGGCGGCGCACCCGGAGAAGTGGCCGAGAACCTGCGGGCGCAGCCGGGCTGCGGGCCCCTCGGCGCGGGGGAGGCCCGGGGAGGCCGCGGGCCCGAGTGTCCTCGGCGTGTCGGCCCCGGGCCCGCAGCAGCAGCTCCCCGGGGCATCTGTGCTCCCAGGCTTGGCGTGGCAGCTGCCTGCCCGGAGTTCGGGGGCCCTGCCGCCTGCGTGTCCAGCGGGCCCCGGGGCGCCCTGTCTGTCCAGTGCTTTGAGGCTGCGGGAGGTGCGGGACAGGGCCTGGGGGCAGAGGCTTCATGAGGGTTTTTTTTTTTTTTTAATTTTTAACATTTATTTATACAAGAACTGGGGTACAGGCCAGAGGTGCGGGAGGGTGAGAGGCTTCACCAGAGACAGAGTGGGGAGCAGAACAGGTGGATCCACTGAAACCCACTGCTGAGGGGAGCAGCGGGGAGACGGGAGAGGTCTGCCGCGCCATGTGGGTAGCTCACCGGCCGGCGGGGATCGAACCCGCTCTGCAAAGGCTGCGGGCAGCTTCACAGGGCGGCGCTCAACCGCCTGCGCCACCAGGAAGGCCCTTTGCGAGGGTTTTTCCTCTGCTGCTTTACCTTCGCTTTTTTGTGGATGAGGAAACTGGAACCTGGGGAGAGGTGATTTGCCCAAAACCCAGGATTTATTTCCAGGCTTTCCATTCTTTTCCATTGATCCATGTCTCTCTTTGTGCCAACGTCAAAATTTTAATACCGGTGCTTTTATAGTGCAGTTTGAAGTCAGGTAACACGATGCCTCCATTTCTCCCCAGGTGCCTTTGTGGTTCCCACATGCAGCCAGGGTTGGGGACCACCTTATGTGATTGTATAGAAATGTCACTGTTTTTGGTTCAGTTTCTTTGAAAAAATATTGCTAGGCTTTTGATAAGGATTAGATAAAATTTGTGTGTCATTTCGGGCAAGATAGTCATTTTGCTGATGATGATTCTCCATGAGCACGAGATAGCTGCATCTGCATGTGTCGCACAGAGTCCTTTAGTAACATCTTGTATACAAACCTCTGATTGTTAGGCCTTTCTCCTCCTCTGTTGTTTCCGAGGTAGTAAATTCTTTTTGAAGCAATGATAAGTGGAGGTATTTTTTCAATTTCTTTTGTTTTCTGTCCGTTGTTTGTAAATAAAGTTACCACTTTTTGTACGCTGTCACTTTGCTCCATTTATTGTTTCTAATCTTTTGATGGATTTTTTTAGGATTTGAGAGATATGTAGCATCATACCATCTGTGAGTAGTGATAGTTTCACATCTTCTTTTCCAACTTGGGTTTTTTATTTCCTTTGATGGCTCTGGCTAAAACCCCTAGTCCTAAATTAAACAGAGGTGACTGTTGGGCATCTTTGTCTTGTGCTGGATTGTGGGGAAAGCTTTCAGTTTTTCACCATTGAGTATTATATTGGCTGTTGGTTTGTGATTTATATGGCCTTGTTAACACTGAGGGGCCCTCCTGGAATTCTTTCCACAAATGGGGGCTGAATCTTACCAATGTTTTCTCTGCATCTATTGATATTATATGATTTTTTTCTATACTTTTGTTGCTATGTTGCGTTATATTGATAGATTTATGAGAGCCCTCCTTGAATCTCTTGAGATGAATCCCACTTGATTGTGGTGTATAATCCCCTGGTAAACTATTGAATTTCATTTGCTAGTATTTTTGTTGAAAGTTTTTGCATTGATGCTCATTAGGATATTGGTCTATAATTTTCTTCCTTTTGCTGTTTTTGTCTGGTTTCTGTATTAGTGTAAAGTGTCTTAGGAAGGATTTCTCTTTGTAGCTTGAAAACTACAAATTTGATCAAGGTGGGCTATTAGTTTTTTAAAAGTTTGATAAAATTCATTTGTAAAGCTATCTTTTCTGGGCTTTCTTTATTTCAGATTTTTTTTTTTTTTACTGCTGTTTCAATTTCCATGTTTGTGGTTTCTTTTTTTCAATTCACCTATTTCTTTCTAGGTTAGTCATGGTAGACTATATTGATCTAGGAATTTATCCATTTCTTCAAAACTATTTAATTTATTAGTATAGAGTTGTTCATAGTAATCTCTTAGGATCTTTTGTATTTCTGCACTTTCTGGTTAGTGGGACCCAATTGCATTTGGGTACTCATGGGTCCAGTCCTGGAAGGTTTAGTCTAGTGGAGCTCAACTCTGGTTGAGGTGATTTTTTTTTTTTAACCTGATGAACATGGTTTTTTTTTTTTTTAATAATAAATTTTATTTTTATATTCCCCATACAATTGCAACCCCCTTATTTTGACCCCAATCCCTCCCCTCCCGCCCCCTACCCCCCATAGAGTGTCTCTGGTTCATAGTTTTTTGTTGATTTTGATTTTCACTTTCTTATAGTTATTCATTTTCCTGGTCCCTTATTTAAGTTTTCTAGATTCCTGCTATGAGTGAGACCATCCGGTATTTTTCTTTTTCTTTCTGGCTTATTTCGCTGAGCATGATCCCTTCCAGCGCCATCCATGTTGCTGCAAATTGCATGTGTTTATCTTTTTTGAATGCTGAGTAATATTTCATGGTATTTGATTTTTAAAACACGCATTCCGTGCTTCATACCCAAAGGTTCCAGTGAGGATTCTGGCATCAGGTTACACTAAAGGACAGTCAGAGTTGAGGACCCTCCTCTAAGTCAGTCCTGGTACTCCCCATTTCTCTTTGCCACATGTTTCCTTTTCCAGTCAGTCTCCTTTGTAGCCAGAGGGGTGCTTGTGCCAGTTTTGTTCAATGAGAAGGTATCCGGGGGGAAAGAGGGAAAGAGTTTGAGAGAGATGGTCCTCCCTGAGAAAAAGAAGAGTGCACACTCCTGTCTCCTTTGATTACAGGTGCAAGGAAATGGGATGTCTGGAGATGTGCAGCCACCTTGTGATCATGAGACAAGATGACAGAATGCAAAGGAACCTGGTGCTTGATGAATTCTTCAAGCTCTTGAACTAACTCTGCCTCCTGTGTGTTAATAAGCTATGCAACATAACTGCTGGATTCTTCACTTTTCACAAGTTCTCACCTTGCCACTTGGTTTTCAGGGAGACCCACATTAACACTGCCTGTTTCACTAACTGAAAGAAATTCGAAGAGATGTTTGCTTTTATGACAAAAGATGAAAAGCAGAAAGTAGCGCCCAGCATTCTGCAGCATTTTGGCCTGTTTCACAGCAGCCAGTGGAGAGGCAGCCGCCCCACATGGTGAGTGTGGCCGTACCAGGCTCCTTGCCCAGAACCACTTGGTCTAGGTGTGTGTTTATCATTCTGCTTTTACTATTTGTTAGTGTTATTTTGGGGTTTCGTGTGTTGTTTTGGTGTGATTTGGTAGAAATTTTTTGACCTGGGAGCAGTCAAAAACTTTTCCACGTAAATTAACGGTGACTGCTTCTTTGCTTTACACCCTTTGACTTGGGCAAGCCTGCAAGTGATTATGCTGTTTGATTCTCTGTTGTTTAGATTTTCTGTCACTCACGGTTGTGTATATCCCAACCACTACCAAAAAATGTAAGAGAACAAATGAATGTTCTTCCCGCATTGGCCCTCTTCTGGATCTTCTACCCAGTCAGAACCATCTCTCCTCTCAGCCCCCTACTGTAGTGGCAGGAGGACATGGAGCAGGATCTCTATGATCCGAGCAGACGGGGTAAGAGAAATCCTTGAGCCCTCGGTGGCTTTTGCAGGCTTCTGTTGGAATTTACTGGGTACATAGCAGGCAGGGGGGCTGGGAGGCTGGCAGACTTCCCAGCCCCCAGCAAGTCTTCACTCTGTCTGGGCTCTCCAGCGTACTCTGGTGGTCTCTGCTTCTCTTTCATTCTCTCTTTCTCTCTGCTTATCTGCTCTCTGCTCTATTGGCGTCCCCGTGATACTGCCCTTATAAGCCCAGTCTCTCAGCACAGGTGTATCCACTTACACATGCCCACACCCTACTCCAGGTGCCCGCCATCAGGCATGGCAATCCTAATGGTGGAAGGGCAGAAAAGCCTGAAAACCATTTACCAAACCATTTACCCTGCACCTACCCAGGCCCAAATATTTGCCCTGAAGCCCCTCCCGGCATTCTTTGTGCTCTTCTGGATATCACTGTGCCAGACCCACACGGGTTCAAAACTCAGCTCCTTGGCCTTGGAACACGGGGCCCCTACCTGGAATCTGTTCGTTGGGGTCACCTTGTGGAGAAGCGGTAAGAAGTAAGTGGGGTGATGTCTGTGACCTCAGTGCCCAGCTCACAGCAAGGGCTGGGAGGGGCTGTTGCTATTATTTCCTAAGTCACCTCCTCCAGAGGTGGCTCCCGTGCAACCCCCCCCCCACCCGCCCCCGTGCGGCTCTCTGACATCTCGCGCCTCCCTTCATGTCGTCGTCGTCGTCCTACTCTGTGACGGTCGTACAGCTACAGCTTGTTGCACACGTGCTCTCAAACGTTCACTGCAGTCGTGCAGAGTGGAAACCCCAGTCACTCCTCTTTCACCTCCAGGACATTGGGGCTTAGGGATAAGACTCAGAAGGTTTCCACCACCTCTAGGTTTACAGTCTAGTTTTTCCAGGTGGAGAGCGGTCAGGAGGCAAAAGAAAAGTTCGACAGTAAAAGAGATGTCCCATGAAAGGAAGACGGAGAGTTCGGAGGAGGTGGGGCTGGAGGAGGGCTGAGAAACTTCTGACTCAGGTCACACGTTCCAGCTCCTGCTTCCTTGCGTGGTCCCTGGCCCCTTTCCTCTCCGCTCAGCTGCACTGAGCCCACCAGCCCCATTCAGTTGTACCTTCGCCTTCCCACGTGCTGTCTGTGCTGCCTGGAGCCCCTCCTCCTATGTCTAGCTGCTTATCTTCTGCTTCTCTTTCAAGTTTTGGCTTTGGTGCTTTTCTTCCAGGAAGACTCCCTGGATTGGATCTGAGCCGGAAGAGAGGCACGTATCCCTCCCATATGACCAGCTCACACCTTTCTTCCATGGCATGCAAGACAGGCCTTTTCTTTTTTTTTTTTTTTGATTTTTTTTTTTTAGATTTATTTATTTATTTATACAAGCACTGGGTATAGTCAGAAGCGCGGGAGGGTGAGAGAATTCACCAGAGCCAGAGCGGGGAGCAGAGCAGGCAGAAGGACCAAAGTACACTGCTGAGGGGAGCAGCGGGCGGCAGGAGAGGTCTGCGCGCCGCAAGACAGGCCTTTTCAACCCCATTAGACAGTGTAACAAAATGAGGACCAGAGAAGACATGAGATCTCCACAAGGTCACAAGCATTCTCCTTCAGAAGACAGGTCCTGAGTTATGCCCGTGGAACTTCACAACGTAGCAATAAAGATAATACTTCTTGCTAAGGTTTATTTGGCATTTACCAAGAACGGCTCTAAAAGTTTTTATGTTTTAGCTTGTTCAGTCTGCACAAACACCTTATAATAATGAAATAGACATAATCATTATCTGTTATATACAGGTAAGGAACCAGAGGTGCAAAGAGAAACTTTCTGTCAGTTACCAAAATCTCATCACCAAGTACCACAATACTCACCTTTTCACCTTTTCATAAAATCAACTAGAGAGATCCTCTTTCTCCATTAAATTTGCAAAACATAAAAAAAGGAAATCATAAATGGCTGGTATCAGCCAGGATGCAGGGAAACAAACACGTTTATCAGTGCAGGGCGGATGAAAATTTATTTTTAATTTACAACATAATTTAGTGATAATATATATAAGAATATTCATTCTTTTTGACAGCAGTCTTACGTCTAGGAATCTCTTAGGAAATACTGAGAAATACTGACCAAACTGAATTAAAAAATGATCATGGTAAAATAGCATATGATTATCTGTAAAATAGCAACCAAAGAAAGGAATGCACCTAGAATTTCGGCCATGGGCTGTAGGGTAAGTGCTGCTGACACCACCACCCAGCACACACTGACCAGCTATTAACAGTGAGATTATGAAAGAAAAGTCAAAGTCATTTTTCTAAAAATGTCCACAATTCAACCATGAGTAAAAATGAACAGGCTACGTAATCACACGCAGGGTAATTCACATGGCATGGTTTGTGTTGCTCGGACCGATCATCCGTCTGGAAGGAAGTCTCCCCGCTATTTGCAGTAATGGTGGCTAAATTGACTGAGTGGAGCGAGGCAGGTCACTGGATGAGCTGGTGCTTCGAAGCCACCTCTGAGATGATCAAGCTCCAGGCTCCCTCTCCACGGCCAAGGCGCAGGGAGGCTGGTTCCTCACCCAGCCAGGACCATCGGTCCCCAGAGCCCACACCCTAGCGCACTGTCTACGCTCTACTTCTTTGAAAAGAAATTTTTTATTTACATGCAATAATTTACTTTTCCCAACACCATCCTTGATGTCTTCTGTCCCTTGCCTCCCCTGCACTCTGCTTCCTTACAACAGTTTCTGTATTAGGGTGAAGGGTTTATTTCTTTCTTTTTTTTTTGGGGGGGGTATGCTTCTTAAAACTCCTTTCCTAAGCTGTTCACAATGCACATCTATCACTTACATAATCAAGGGGGGAAAGGCAATAGAATCGTTTGTTTATGCAAAATGTCCAGAAAGTTCCGGAAGGCTGTACACACCCAGGTGTTAGCAACCATTATCTCCAGCTGGCGGGAGGACTGAGCATTTGGGGCCCTTCATTTGGCTCTATTTTGTCATTTTTCTGTGAAAAGTGAGCACGGGAGTTAGTTAGAATTCAGATGTGTTTGACTTCCATGGGGTGAGCGGCAGCTGGTTGGGGCTGGGGCTGGGGGTGGTTGGTACCTCCTGCCCTTCATTCCATCCCGGGGGTCCCTCACCGCTCCTTCCCCCACCGCTAAAGCTAGAGACAATACCAACTGGAGTCTCTCCTGCTGTCCCCCAGAGGGCCATGTCCTCGCTCATCTGTGATTTTCCATTAGCCAGGCACCAGCTCCAGCTCAGAGGCTGGGCCAATGTTCTGAGGAGGAAGAGAAAAACCAGCCCAACAGTCCCGGGAGGATGTTTCCTTTTAATTAAAGTGAAGATGGGGCAGCTCTAGGCCCCATTGTGAAGAAAGGAAGTTGACCCTGCCAGCTGGGGCTGATATAGGGGTGGGGCAGAGCGGGGTGGGGGTGGGATGGCCCCCCATGACCCTTGTAGCTCAGTTCACTTCCCTGCAGGACTGTTTTTTACTTATGGGGGGAGGCACTGGTGTCAGATGCCCCAGGATTAGAGCCCAGAACCCTGGGAGGGGCCATCCCCAGAAGTGGGAGGACCCCCACGCCAGCTACTTGGAGCCTGTACCCTCCAGGGGAAGGTACCTGGCTGGGCCAGAGGAGCGATGCTCCTGGCTTCCTTTCCCTTCCTGCTCTTGCTTCCCAGCTCGCTCACAGGCCAACTTGGTGTCTCTGGTTTTATGTTCAGATGGAAGGAAGGAGCAAGGTCTCTGCTCATGACTGTCCCTTCTACTGAGTGAACCCTGGAGGTCTTCAGAGGAGGAAGGCTCCGCCTTAGTGTCTGCCCCACTCCCCGACAGCAGAACTGGCACTCCGGTAATGCGGGTGACAGTGCCCAGCTGCCATCATATAGTGGACATTTAGTGAAGCCTCTGCTGCCCCTGGGGGCTGCTGGTGACAGCGTGGATTTGGGAGCTCAGCCTGTGTGGGTCCGAGTCTGGTTTCTACTATTCTCTAGCTGTGTGGCTGAGGGCGGCTTAATTCACCTGTTGGGGCCTCGGTTTCCTCATCTGTAAAATGAGCACAGTGGTGAGGCCTGGGGCTGAGAATTAGTAAATATGTGGAGTGTAGGAACACTGCCTGGTATGTGTCCCACACAGCAAATGTTAGCTGTTATTAAACACATCACATTTACACAGGTTACCTCTTTGATCCACCCTGACATCCCATGTGGTAGGCTCTTCCTTATTCCTTTTGGCAGATCCAACACAGAGGCACTGAGAGACTAAGTAACCTGCTCAGGGTCATGCAGCTCTCCTAGTAAGAAGGGGAGCAGGTTTCAGACCCAGGCCCTGTGGCTCCGTAGTCCATGTGCTAGGCCAGTATCATTCTGCTCCTCAGGGTGGATGGATGGATGTGGGGACATAGGTGTGGAGAGTACTTTGTGGCCTTTTTTTTTTTTTTTTTTTTTTGAAAAAAGATGCTACAACTTCAGTTCTGCCATATCAGCACTGAAGTGGCAGGGGGTTGGGGGCCAGGCTGACATATTCAGGCCTCAGCGGGGCTGCTCTCTAGGCGTGTGCTGTGGGCAAGCCCCGGCTTCCTCAAATGGGAAGTGCCGGGATGGAGTGAGAAGCCATCAAGAATGGGCCCCATCAGAGCTTATAGGGGGATGGGGCAGGGAGGGGCACCATACGGAGAGGAAGAGCCTGTGCCCTGGGACTCCTGGACCTGGAAGGGTTCCTCCTCCTTCCTCTGCTCCCGGCTACTTTCAGCAGCCCTGCACCCACTGCTTAGCAGTGAGGGGATGATGCAGGAACCCCGTCCCATCCCCAAGTGGCATCAGATCTCAGCAGGGTGGACTTGAAGGACCAGGGAGCAGCTGAGCAGACACGTGAGAGAATGCCCGCCAGCAGCCCAGGAAGGGAGTATCCCTCTTTTCACATTTGAAACCCTGTGTCTGGAACCTGGACCGCACATTGGCTCCCCCAACCCCTTACCCCATCCTAACTCCCTTCTCCAGCTTCGGGCTGCAGCAGAGGCTCTGACTGCAGGTCTCATCTGATCTTGTCACCCTGCTGACTGAAAAAGCCTCCCACAGCTCCCCATCGCCCTCTGCTTGAATCTCTCTGCAGACCCTTGCCCTGAGCCATCAGGGCCCCATCCTGGGGCTCCCGTCCTTCCCAGCAGTTCAGGTCACTGCCCTCCCCCACTTCACCCACCAGTCTCCACCTTCATTGGCTGTTGTAGACCTTGCATCTGACAGCTGTTCCCTCTGCAGGAAGCTCCCTTCCTGCCCATCTCTCAGTGCTCCCCACCAAGCAACAAAACTGCTATACCTTGCCTCTGTGAGGAAGCCCCCCAAGACTCCCCTAACTCCAAGCTGAGTTAGCCCCCCATGCTAAATGTTTCAACAAACCCTAAGCTTCCCCCATGGGACATTTATTCTTCTCTTATGCCATTGGATGTAGGGAATTCCTTAGGAGGAAACAAGTTGAAGTGCTTTTTATTGAAATTATGGTGCCTGGGACAGAAAAAGTGCTAAAGGTCTGCTGGGTGGGTGGGTGGACAGATGGATAGGTGAATGGAGGAAGAGACGAGGTGGTGAGTGGAAAGGGAATAACATGCTGGCGGGTGGGTCACGGGAGGCTGGATGGGTGGATAGATGGGGGCTGCGGGGTGAGGAGATGCATAGATGCACTTGGGAAGACTGGTGGACACTTAGGTGCCGGGTGCTCCTTCCTCCGTCAGCAGGAGAAGGGCTCTGCTTGTGGGGTTCAGCTTCGGAAGACCTCTGGCCTGCCCCCACCCCCGCCTTTCTCTTTAATGGTTGTAATGACAGTAACATACCCTTACGTCACATTTCTTTATTGAAATTGAGATGAAATCACATAACATACATTAACCATTTTAGAGTGGCGTTTGGAAGAGTCACGGTGTTGGTCAGCCACCACCTCCGTCCAGTTCCAGACATGTCCTCACCCACCGTGAGACGCCCTCTGCCCTCCCCCGCCAGCCCTTCAGCTCTGAGGATGTGCCTCTTTTGGCTACCTCGTGTAAATGGAGCTCTATGACACCGACCTTTGACGCAGTTAGCCAGCTGGACTCAGCTTAGAGGGTCCCCATTTTGTTGGCCAGATCCAAGCGTTGTAGCCGGAGCCAGTTAGACCTACACTGCCTTGTCCCCGCGGGTCTCCTCAGGGCGCAGGCCGTGGCCCTGCCCGTGTCCTAGAGCTTTTCCGCAGCGCGTGACCTGGTGTGGTCGGCCTGACGTCCCCGTGACACAGTGTCTTGTCTTCTCTCTTTACAGCTGACTCGGTGGCCGGGGGGAGCCTGAGGCTGGCGTCGAGGTCAGGCGTGTGTCTCCTTTGAGTGCGCTTTGCAGCTGTTGGGGCCGCCTTCCGAGTTGAGTGTCTTGGGCCTCTGAAAGGTGGGTCACGCGGCTCTTCTTTGCCTTGTGGCTGTGGATGCCTGTCAGCGCTGCCTTCGAAGCTTTGGCTTTAGCTTTGGGAGGGGCAGGGGCTTCCATCTTTAATTCTGGTGCCGTCTTTATGAATTCAATTCCAGTCATACTCCTTGTGCCAACAAAAACTGGCTAGTGAGTTTGGGGAGGAAGCTGTAAAATGGGGCTGTGACAGCCCAGACTGGCTGCCCCTTTGGGAGACTGAAGACTCCTGGGAACAGCAGTGGGCTGAGAAGGGGCTGCGGGCGTGGCTGTGAAGTGGGCCAGCACCGGCACCAGGGGGGGCGTGAGAACTGAGGAAGCAGGAGCTGGGGAATACAGGTTCCCTCACCCCCTGCCTGTCAGGGTCACAGAGGGGGCCTTGCTCTTCCAAGTCAACGGCAGCAGTAAACGCTGGTGTGCGCCCGCAGCTTTAGCCTTTTCACTCTTCCCACAGCCCTGTCGCGGGTCTGCCAGAAGGCCCCCTTTGCAGGTGCTGAAGTGAAGGCTCAGACAGGTGACGACACTCTACCACGCAGCATGAAAGTGGCCAGTTTGGGCTTGAGCCCACATGTGTCTGGGTTCAGCCCTGCAGCACCCCGTCTCTTCCTGTCCTCCTTTCTTCCTGAGGGGCCTCGCACAGTGTTCAAGCTCTGAGGGAGCTGTATCCCTGCTTCCCACCTTCGGGGCCATTTTAAAATCCCTTCCTCTTCCCCTGGAGCCCAGACAGGCTTTCTCTTCTCCCAGCATCTCTGTGCCATGGGCAGGCACCAGCCAAAGGCCTATCCATGGCACGAGGCTGCCCCCTGGTGTCTGTGAGGAGTGCCACAGCCACTGAGGAGTAGCCCAGAGAATTCCCTGTGGGGGTGGAGCCAGCCTAGAAGCCCCATCTAGGAGGGCATGTGGGAGACCTTAATCACGAACGTGGGCTCACCCTCGGTGCCTGGCCCAGTGTCGGCTGCTCCACCTTCACTGCTCTCACTTGGTCCTCACTGCCGCGCCGCATGGGCTGCTCCTTGTGTAGCAGGAGCTCAAGAAGCACCTCTAACTAAAGGATAAGTATTGTGTGGTTCCGCTTATATGAGATCCTGGGACAGTCACATTTCACCACGAAGTAGAATGGTGGTTGTCTGGGGTCGGGGAGGAGGACTGAGTGTTCAGTGGGGACAGACATCGGTTTGGGAAGATGAAAAAATCTCTGGGATGGTGATGGGGAGGGGGACACGCATATGGGCTTAATGCCCCTGAGCTGCAGACTTAAAAATAGTTAAAATGGTCAGTTTTGTGTTAGTGTGTATTTTACCATAGCAAAAAATGTTTTTGTGAGTAAATCAATGAAGAGCTCAGCTAATGAACAGTTGCATGAAAGAGTAAATGAGTGCATGTAATAATACTAGTTACTGAATACTTGGGAGTTGTCATTATACAAAGGGTGTTTCAATTCACAGTTATTTTTGTCCAGCCATTCAGTGTGCCTGGCACTGCCAGAGACTTGGCATGCGGTGGTCTCTACCATGATAGAGGGGGCATTTCATGAGAACGACGGTGCGCAGCGAATAGTCCAGCCACAGGTGGTGATATCTGCCATCAAGAAAAATAAGGCAAAGGAAAGGATGGCGGATGGTGGTGGGGGACTGGGGAAGCCCTTTTGGAAGGGCACAGCCTGGTAAGGCTTCTCTGAGGAGGTGGTGCTTAGCTGTCGCCACACCCCAATGAGGTGGGCACTGTGATTATAGCCGGTTTACAGATGGGCATCTAAAGTCCGGGGATTGCTCAGGCTTGCATGAGGAGGAAGTGGTCGAGCTGGGGATTCAACTCAGCTCTGTCACAGCCCACCCTGGAGAGCTTCACCTTACTGGCATGAGGGGGTGGCAGTCTCTCTACACTCATGGCCCCTCAGAGCACTCTTCAGCTCTCCCAGGAGGAGCTCAAGGCAAGTCCAGGAGACTGACCCCACAGCTTCTCTCTAGGCATCCACTCCTCCAAGGGATGCGATAGAGCCGTGTGTCCAGCAGGGGGCGCTGCTGCCTGAGCCTGGCGCCCCTCACCGGAGAGCCCTTGGAAGAGGCTCTGCCTGAAGTGATATCTGCCTGCCAACAACAACAAAGAAAATAATCCAGTCAAAAAATGGGCAGAAGAGCTTAAAAGAAACTTCTCTGAAGAGGAAATGCAAATGGCCAACAGGCATATGAAAAAATGTTCAACATCACTTGTCATCAGGGAAATGCAAATCAAAACTACCATGAGATACCATCTTACACCAGTGAGAATGGCACATATTAAAAAAACTAGCAACAACAAATGTTGGCGAGGGTGTGGAGAAAAAGGAACTCTTCTGCACTGTTGGTGGGAGTGCAAACTGGTCCAACCACTGTGGAAAGCTGTATGGAGATTTCTGGACCTACTAAACATAGAGCTTCCATATGATCCAGCAATTCCACTCCTAGGTATTTACCCAAAGGACACAGAAACATCAATTCCAAAGAACACCTGCACCCCTATGTTTATAGCAGCACTATTTACAATAGCTAAGCTTTGGAAACAACCCAAATGCCCAAAAATAGATGACTGGATCAAGAAGATGTGGTCCATATATACCATGGAATATTACTCAGCATTCAAAAAAGATAAACACATGCAATTTGCAGCAACATGGATGGCACTGGAAGGGATCATGCTCAGCGAAATAAGCCAAAAAGAAAAAGAAAAATACCGGATGGTCTCACTCATAGCAGGAATCTAGAAAACTTAAATAAGGGACCAGGAAAATGAGTAACTACAAGAAAGTGAAAATCAAAATCAACAAAAAACTATGAACCAGAGACACTTTTAGGGGGGCGGGGGTGGGAGGGGAGGGATTGGGGTCAGAATGGGGGGGCTGCAATTGTATGGGGAATATAACAATAAAATTTATTAAAAAAAAAAAAAAAAAAAAGATAGAGGAAAAGCCTCCAACAGCACTGCCCTGGCCTTGCTTGGGAGACAGACCAGCTTTAGAATGCCAGCCCCGGTCCCTTATTGCTCAGCAATCTCCTTCCAGATGCTGCATCCTCATCCGAGATGGTAGAACCATCCCTTCCTCACAGGCTGCTGGAAGATTGCAGGAGCCCATGCGTCCATCCAGCCCAGTGAATTTGTTAAGCACCTCCTTTGCACCAGGTCTTGGAGTTTCAGCAGGGAACAGAGTGACAAAAAATTCTCAGCCCCAGGAAGGTCCCATTCCAGTGGGGAGACGGGCTGTAGAAGAGAAATAAGGTAGATCCTGCAACAGGGGAAGGCGGTAGCTGCAGAGGAAACAGTAAAGCTGAGCAGGCAGTTGGGAAGTGTGGGTTGGGGGTGGGGGTTAAGCATTGAGATGAGTTAGGAGAACACCTCACTGAAAAAGTGACTGTTTACCAGCCCCCTACCCCCACCTGCTGAGGGCTTGAATGAACAGAGGGGGAGCGGGGAAACAGAAACAGTCACAGACAAACCTAGAAATACCATCTCGCCAGATACCTGGACACTCCCGGCTCAGTTGTGAAAGTAGCCGTCACGGAGGAGGGGACGTGTAAGCCCCCAGGTGTCAGAATGTGCAAATAGACTGGAGGGTGAATGAGTGAGTGACGCTGGTGGGAGGACCCAAGCAGCATGAGCCAGGGTTGGGGGTTCTCCCAGCGTGGTTCCTGGGAGCACAGTAAAAGGGCAGGTGCCTACACACCTCAGCTCTACGGCCTCAGACTTTCCTGAAGCAGACACAGTGTTGAAAGCTGCTCAGGTGATCCTGAGGCTGCCGCTGTTGACAGATGTTGCTGTGGGAGGGGCCACTGCGGAAGGGCAGAGTGACTGAGACAGGTGGCAGCTTCCCCATCTTCTCTCACCACTTGGGGAGGGGAGGGACTTGGGGGAAAGCCTGTTCCACCAGCACACCCTGCCCACTGGGGCAGGCCACAGAGCCAGAGGCAGGGGTTGCCATGGTAGCGTGTTAAAAACTGAGGGGCCACCTCCAGCTTCAGCATCTGGAAAAGGGGAAGCCTTTGCGACATGGGGTGGGGAGGAAGCTTGCTCCCCAGCATTTTCATAACTGACAAAGCCACAGCACAGAGACTCGCCCTTTCCCTTCCACGGCGACTGTGCAGGAGTTCCGGGGGAGAGGTATGCATTCAGGGACTCCAGGCTCCTCCCAGACCTTGCCCTCTGCAGCGGTTCCGTCTGGGCGTTCTGCACACCAGCCTTCCATAATAAGCTGTGGTCTAGTGAGTGAAAGGTTTCTCTGAGTTCTGTGAGTCACTCTAGCAAATCACTCAAACCCAGGAGGGGTTGTGGTGGCCTCCGGTGTGGAGCAGGTTAGTCAGAAGCGCAGGTGACAGCCTGGACTGGAGGCTGGCAGGACTGGCGACTCAGGTGCTGTGAGCACAGGTTGGGGGGACTAGACCCTCAGCCTGGAGTCCTGCTGCCTTTTCCAGGTAGAGCGTGTCAGCAGTGAGCTGAACTGAGTAGGATTCTCAGGTCAATTCTCAGTGCCAGAGAATCACTGTTGGATGTGGGGAGAACCCCCCCCACCCGCCCTACTCCCCAACATACATGTCAGAAAGTCAGTCTCAGGACACCCATTTCAAAAACAAATTTCAGTCCGCCTGGCTTAGCTCTCTTTTCTCTATTTAGAAACTCTTATAAAAATGCACATAGGAAGAGGCATACTGCAAAAGGGTGTACGGCACAAAAAAGGAGGAAATGCGTGTCAGAGGGCTCCAGGGAGTTACTATATGTATGATTTTTCTAAATTTGTGAAGTTGCTATTTGTTTTTTTAAAATGTATAACCTTGTGGTTTCTTTTTAAATTCTAAATACATATTCACATGTGTATTCATATTTGTAGTGATAATTTTCAAATTATTCACTCAAGGAGGACCCCCTAAATTATATACGCTTTAGTCTCCCCCTCCCCAAATGTGGATCCATCACTGATCCACACCAGTGTAGAGGACTCTGCACATGCATGTGTAGGG